AAAAATGAAAAGGTATACAATCTAGTTATATGCCCAGCAGAAATGTATAGATTTGTAGACTAAAAACACAAAAATGTTCATAGCAACATTACTTTTAATGGTGCAAAATAGGAAACAACCCAGTATGTATCAGTGGTGGAGGACGGCATACTCACACATCTACGGCAGCAGAGATGAATGAACTACAACTACATCCAGTGGTATTCATGATTTCCACTATCAATGTTTTTCAAAAGGGCAGACACAAAAGATTACAATTCCATTTATGTACGATTCAGCAGGCAAGGTTGATTTATATGATTAGACATCAGACATCAGAATAGTGGTTATTTTTTCCTGGTCTTTTTTTTTTTTTTTTTACTGTGGGAAATACATAAACCATAGACAGTATCACTAATCATTTAAATATACAACCCAGTGGTATGCAATACACTCACAGTACCCTGTCATCATTTCTCTATGTAGTTCCAGATCTTTAAGCAGTCACTCCCCACTCTTCCCTGCCCCATGTTAGTTTCAAAGAGTAGGGAATTATGGCTGGGAGGGAACATAATGAAGAGCTTATGGACATGGTTAATGTTCTAGTTTTGCATCTGGGTGGAGGGGTTGTAAGGCTGTGGTCATGTTGTGAACATGGACGTGTACACTGATAATTTATATGCTTTTTTTGTATGGTTGTTATATCTAAGTGTGACAGTGTAATCTAAAAAGGGGGGGGGGTCCTATATTCCCTGCCCCACCTAATGAAGGGTGGAGCTGAATGGTGAGGGGAAACTAAAAAGGACTTGGACTTACACCAAGGACTTGGGGGACATGGAAGGAGATACTTGGAAGAGACATGGGTGAAAAAGTCTAGGGAGGCCAACAGTGGCAGCCTTTATCATGACTTGTACTTTGATTCTGCTCCTTCCAGACTTGCCTGGCCCCTTCTGCCCCTTTCCTATGGTTCCTCACCAGAAGGTGCCTTAGACTTGTGGCAAGATTTTGGGCCTCAGTAGTCCTGCTTTGGTCCAACCCTGTTTGGCTGGGCATGTACCCAAGAGGGGATGGGTAACTTTGGGTGTTTCATTGGGAAACTGTATCCTTTCTCTTATTTTCTTTCTGTGCACACTAACTCAAAGTTTTTTTCTACTAAAAAAAGTCTTATACCTTTACACCTAAAAATGGCTTAGAAGCAAGTTTGGCTTCTTCACATGTCTCTATGCTTTGTGGGCTCCCTTCAAGTCTTCTCTAAGTCTTTTCTCCCAAGTCCTTTTTAGTCTTTCCCTTACTGTTCAGCTCCACCCTTCTTTAGGTGGGGCAGGGAACATGAACTTCCCCTCTTTATTTTTTAAAAGATTTATTTTATTTATTTATGCATACAAGAACTGGGGTGTAGGCCAGAAATTTGGGGGGTGAGAGGATTCACCAGAGGCAGAGAGGGAAACAGAACGGGTGGATCTACTGAAATACACTGCTGAGGTCTGCGAGATAGGAGAGGTCTGCTGTGCCATGTGGGTTAGTTCCCTGGCTTGGGATAGAACTCAAGCCGCAGTGGCTGGTGGGCCTGATAGCTATCAAGATAGCTTGATAGTGCTGAGACTTTAACCCCTGTGCCACCGAGGAAGGCCAACTTCCCCTTTTTAGATTACACTGTTACATAAGGATATCTAGATAACTTTGTGTATATAATATATATATGCTAATTGTTCTTTTTATTGTAGGAGGTAGGATTATGAATCTGTTTTGTATTTACTTTGTTTTGCTAAGTTGTGTTTTCAATTTTTTTTCAAATTCAAGTATTTCTTTGACAATAAGATTTTAAATTTAAAGAATCTTAAATAAAGAAAATAACATGATAGTAATGCCTTTCAGGAGAAAATGTTCCTTACCATTAGAGGAAATGGAAGTGACCCACCGAAACTTTGTCTGGTCACTATTTGCTTTGGGATCGATACTTCTCTATCCATCACCCTGCATGGACCTGTTGTCTCTCCCAGGCTCCCTCTCTTCCCAGTGGATATGGAAGGCCTATGGAGACATGGGAGGGTGTTTTATATTCAGGGGACTCATTCCCTGACACACTGGAGTTAACCCTTAAACAAAACCTCAGGAATTTGAAAAAAGAAGATACAGAGGCCAAGGTGAACAGGTTATTTAGTCCAGCCTGAAAGGAGCATCAGAAAGCAACTAACAGCTTCAAGCAAGAAAATATGATCCAGAGATAAGCAACCACTCCAGACAGTCATTTTCATAAGAAAAGACTCCCACAGCCTTCTTCAGTCACCCAGTATAACGCACCCAAAGCAGAAAGCACTATTATGTACATGCACTGTTCCCTGCCTCTCTCTTTCAGGAGTTTGAAATTCTTCAAAGCATTATCTTATTGGTTTACTCATCTTTCAAATCTCAACTTTCATCTCCATCCCTTCCAGTCCCTCTCTCCTCTGTGCTTCCACAGCACCTCATTTATATCTCTACCAGAGGAGCCACCTCAGACCTGCCCCAAGCCTGCCCATATCTTCCCTTGGTTTTCCTCTCCCACCCAGGGCTGAGTTGGTGGGTGGGAGTAAAGGAACACTTAGGCTGGAGCTGACTGCACTCCCTCAGCGGTGCTGACTGCATGGATGAGGTGTCCTTCCATTCACAATGTGTAATAATTCTTAGCTGCCAGGGACCTCCTTAATCACTGGGACGAGGTCTTTTCTTTTTTCTTTTTTAATCATCTCAACACCTTTGCCAAAATTCATGGCAAACAACAGATACCCAACAAACATTGACCTGAATTGCTAAAGATGGGTCTTCTCCCCACCTTTGAATATTTGGAGCAACTGTGCATATTCCTTCCCTTTTCCATGAGGTGTTTACTCTCCACTGCATTTTTGCTTCTGAGATTTTCTTAAAAGTTTATTATGTGTCTATGCATGCATGTGCCCTGCAGCATGTGCAGCGTGTTCAGCTGGTGCTGCAGGTTTATGCCCACTCTCCCTTGTGCATTTTGGGACCTACAGTTACCCCACTAATTCAGTATTTTTCTGGGAAACATCTTGTTTTTCCTCCTAATTTCAAGAATGGAGCATATGTTAAGTTTCTTTTAGAGACAAAATTTCCCCTACATATTAGAAGATTCATAAGGTCTTTTCTTTATTTGTTGTACCTTCATAACAGAGACAGCCACTACCTTAGATGGACACACTTATTCATTGGACTTCTAGAAACATATAGCAGGGTACCTGACCTAGTCCTTGAGCAGTCATAGTTTCCTGTGGAAGCTTCCAGAGGAACTGACACTTCTGTCAAATATTCAAAATTAAGTAGAAGGTGGTTCTAGAGAAATAGGTAAAAGGAGTCAAGGGAACTGTGTGTTTAAAAGGCTCTGAGTGTGGGCCTCCCCAGTGGCGCAGCGGTAGAGCGCTGGGTTGCAAAGCTGCCTGCAGCCTCTGCAGCGCCAGTTCGATCCCCGGCTGCTCCCCGGCCACCGGAGGAGGGTCCCACATGGCGCGCAGACCTCTCCTGCCGCCTGCTGCTCCCCTCAGTAGTGTGTTTCATCAGTCTGCCTGCTCTGCTCCCCGCTCTGGCTCTGGTGAATCCTCTCACCCTCCCGAGCTTCTGACTGTACCCAGTGCTTGTAGAAATAAATAAATAAATAAATAAATAAATGAAAATCTTTAAAAAAAAATAAAAAATAAAAGGCTCTGAGTGTGGAGGAGAGTAGGTGCAGAACATTTAAGAATCTTAAAGACACTGCCAATAGTCATGTGTGTGTATATGTTGGGAGTTGGGGGGAAGAGGCAGGAGCCCAGATGAGGTTGAAGAAGTAGGCAGAGATGGAATAACAGCCTTGATGTATGATAAGGTTGCTTTAGTCAGGAATCTTTTGGTCTAAAGTGACAAAAACCCACCTTAAAAAAAAAAAAAGGAAGGCTTTGTTGGCTCAAAAGCTAAAAGTTCAGGGCTTTCAAGATCAAAGATGTCATTGAGTTTTGACACCTCTCTCTGTGTCTCATTTTTGCTTTCATTCTTGTTAGCTTAATTCTTTGGCTGGCCTCTGTGAAATGGTTCTCTGATCTGCCTGTCACACAGAAGCCAGAGACAAGTGGACGGGAACGGGGGCGAGAAAAGTTAAATGATAAGAGCCACTTATATGCCCATTCTGTAAGACTGTCAAGATTACCCACCGTATTTTCAGGTGATGTCCAGAACCCCCACTTTAGACTCCCTGAAGGAGGGTGGGAAGCTTGGCCTTTTGGGAGGTACAGAAGTGAATAAGTGGGGAGATCCTGTTCCCATATCCTAAAAGCTGTTTGCTTTCTTTAAGTAGCAAATGCTCAGCCCTCTGTCTCTTTCTCTAAAAGCATAAATGCATTTTCTCTGCTGCACGTTCAGTCTTCCAGAGAAAGCAGAGGTTTGGTAAGGGGTGGGGGGGAGAAAGGAAGGAGGCAACCCCAGAAACTCCCTCTCCCGCCCTCCTCCCAGCCTTGCTCAGGTGCCCTGGCTCTCGCCTCCCTATACTAAGCGGGTCCTGACCTGTTTGTCTTACTCGCTTTTTCTGCCTCTTTTTAGACCCCTCCAGATCCTTCCCCACCTTCGGGGCTTCAGAGCTCTTCCACCGCCGGCAAACACATTCTTCTGCCTCGCGCACACCCTAACTAAGGGGACCTGCCGAGAAATTCTCATCCAGGGACCCCTTTCTGCCTGGGATCTGGCGTTTCCGCCTCCGGGGCGGAGACTCCTCCCTCTCACTGTCCCAATTGTATTCCCTGGAAGAGCAGCCGGAAAAGGCTCCGCTTGCTCAGACCGGGCTAAGCGAGGAGGTGGTTTCTTCTAGCAACCGATTCCTGGCGCACCAGGACAGCCGCGGCGGCCGGCACCGCAGGACCAACGGCGGGCAACCTGGACCCTGCCCCAGCCAGGAGCGGGCAGCAGGGGAGCGGCTTCAGCACCGCGGACAGCGCCCGGCCCGAGGCCCTCCGGCCCGCGGCACCCTGGAGCTGGTGGTCTAGGCCAGCTATGCCCTCGGCATGGCCTGGAGCTCCGGCCCCATGGCGCTGCTCCTCAGCTTTGGCCTCCTCGCACTGTGCTCAGGTAAGGACAGGTCTCTGCGTTGTCTCACCCCTTCAGGCTCGAAAGTGGAAAGGAGAGATCCCTCCAGGTGGGGGAGTCTGCTGGGGAACAGGGGAAAGACCCCTGACTGCAGGGAGCATCTGGGAGACCGAATTAGGGAGACATAACCGAAGTAGTAAGTGATGCAAGCAGCAGATGAAACCTGAGCAGTGGAGAAGGGGTGAGTACAGAAAGAAAGGAGTGAGGGGGTCTCCCCAGTCTTTCTCAGGTGGCAGAAGGGCAGGCCCTGGTTGAGACTGACATTCCATTTGGTTTCTTGTGAAATACTGTTTCAAGACTCTATCTAGTTCAGCACCCTTTCTTGGCTCGCCATCATTGCCTGTCCCTAACACTGGGCTCCCGCTTCTGATCACTCCACAGGGGCAAGGCAGGAAGGAGCGAGAAGTAATATGCCAACTCTCTTGTAGGGTGGGATAGGACACTTGAAAGGGAAGAAGCTCTGCCAGGCTGAGGAGGTGGGATGTTTTCCTGCAGTTGTGGAAGGAGAAAGAGTGTGGTGGGGCAGGTGCAAAGGGAAAATAATAAATGAACTTTTTCACACCTGCATGCCATCTCATGGGAAGTGGGCTCTGGTTTACATGGAACATGGGATCGAACAAATGCATAATCCACAGCTCAGACAGCCCAACTATTTTACTCCAATCCAGTGCCTTTTAAGGTGGGATGGGGAGGTCACAGTTACAGTAACGTGCGTGGGGACACATAATGTTACTTGCACACATAGATGGGCACTGACTAAGGACAAAGGGTGTGTGGTGGGACTTGAATAATTCTTCCTTTTTCAACACCCTCCCAAACCAGCCTTGAATCATAGGTGTCTTCCAGGAGAAGCCATGGAAACAGAATTACCTGCTGAGAACTTTCAGAAAAAGCTGGCCTCCACTAATTCTTGTAGATGGGCCCTTAATCTTGAAGCATCTATGTGGGGCTATTGGGGCTACTTTGTCAATGACATCAGAGGGGTTTCCTTCCGGGGCCTCCAGAGGGTAACCTAAGCATTTTGCTGTATCCTTTGGGATAAAGTGATCAGAAGTTAGAGCATCCTGTTTAGGCTTAGGTTGTCCTGCTTGTCTGGGGAGTGTGGGATCCTGGGTGAGCCCTCCTGGCTTACTTACCTCCTGCTCCACACCCCTCTGCCCAGGAGTCTGGGGTACAGACACAGAGGAGCGGCTGGTGGAGCATCTCCTGGATCCTTCCCGATATAACAAGCTTATCCGTCCAGCCACCAATGGGTCTGAATTGGTGACAGTACAACTCATGGTATCGCTGGCCCAGCTCATCAGTGTGGTGAGTGGGAGTCCCATACTCTGCCCAGCTACTGGAGTCAGCACAGCCAGGATGTCTTCACGTTTGTGCTGACTTTCCTGGAGTTTCCGAGGTCTGGGGGATCTGTGGGAGGAATCAAGGTGGTTGTCGTGGGCCCACAGGTGGGGGGTCTTCTCATCAACTCTTCTTCCCTGCAGCATGAGCGGGAGCAGATCATGACCACTAATGTCTGGCTGAACCAGGTTAGTGCTCTTCCTGCTCACACCTCTGGTCTTTTCATGCCTCCCCCGCCCCTCTTTTTTGTGCTTTCCTCTTTTTTAATTTCCTTAAAAGAGGCATAAAGAAATAAGAGTCCTAAATAACTAGTTTTGAATCTTGTTTCTTCCACTCACAGCTCTGTGGCTTTGAGCATGTTAAAAATTCTGTAAGGTTCATTTTCTCATTTGTAAAATGTAGATTCTAGTTCCTTGATTTAGCTGTGCCAACTAAATGAGAAAGTATCTTATGAGCCACACTTGTTGGGCAGAGACATCACTGTGGGGAGGAGATGGCCTTTAAAAACATCCTCAGGCCAGATGAGCCTCCACTTGCCCCTGTCCTTAACCTTGAGCCCCTCCCAGGGCAGAGGTTGGCACTACCTCCCTCTTTACCTTTTCTAGGAGTGGGAGGATTATCGCCTCACCTGGAAGCCTGAGGAGTTTGACAACATGAAGAAAGTTCGGCTCCCCTCCAAACACATCTGGCTCCCAGATGTGGTCCTATACAACAAGTAGGTGTCCCTGGAGCAATGGGAAGGTGGGAGGCAACCATGGGAGCACTCATAAAGGATAGGGGCCTTGGGGGAAAGTAAATTCACTCATGCAAGGGGAGAGAAGGAACTTTTCACTGGCAGAGATGCAATCACTTCCCAGACAGACAGACAGACAGACAGACTGACCCAGACCAGTGAGGTAGAGTGCGACAGCCAAGGTGACTTGGGCACAGTCTACCAGTCAATAGTAGTCCCAGTGTTTGGAGCTGCAGTGGGAGACAAACAAGGATTGACAGCCCGCAGGCTTTTCTAGAAACCTGGGCATGTTCAAAAAAGTTGGAGGTTCCACCCCCTCACCTGCAAGAATTCCTTTTAGTTCCAAAAGCTAAATCCACTAATAAACTCATCTCCTGCTCTTACCTGCCCCTGTTCCTCTACATTGCTGGGGTCTCCTCACTCTGATCTTCCTGGTCCCCCCAACTTCTCCATGCTCGTATGGAGCTGGTAAGCTTACACATGGCACCACAAGTCATCACCACTCTGTCTTTCATCTGCTTTCTGTGTCTAAGGGGCTGCACAGCCTCCACACCAAGTCAAGTCTTTTTCCCATCAACTCAGCCACATCTCCTTCTTACCCAATTCCTTCTCTACCTCCCTATGCTCCCAGATCGTCCCCTCAGACCTGGATGGCTTCCCCATCTCCTTTGGTTTTCCTCTCCTCCCTCGGGGGCTGGGCTGGTGGGTGGGGTGGAGGAACACTTAGGCAGGGGCTGACTGCGCTCCTCCCTGGGCAGTGCTGACGGCATGTACGAGGTGTCCTTCTATTCCAACGCCGTGGTGTCCTATGACGGCACCATTGCATGGCTGCCACCTGCCATCTACAAGAGCGCTTGCAAGATCGAAGTAAAGCACTTCCCGTTTGACCAGCAGAACTGCACCCTGAAGTTCCGTTCATGGACCTACGACCGCACGGAGATTGATTTGGTGCTCAAGAGTGATGTGGCCAGCCTGGACGACTTCACACCCAGTGGCGAGTGGGACATTGTGGCCCTGCCCGGCCGGCGCAACGAGAACCCCGACGACTCCACCTACGTGGACATCACATACGACTTCATCATCCGCCGCAAGCCGCTCTTCTACACCATCAATCTCATCATCCCCTGCGTGCTCATCACCTCACTGGCCATCCTGGTCTTCTACCTGCCGTCCGATTGCGGAGAGAAGATGACGCTGTGCATCTCGGTGCTGCTGGCGCTCACCGTCTTCCTGCTGCTCATCTCCAAGATAGTGCCGCCCACCTCTCTGGATGTGCCGCTCGTCGGCAAGTACCTCATGTTCACCATGGTGCTCGTCACCTTCTCCATCGTGACTAGTGTGTGTGTGCTCAACGTGCACCACCGCTCGCCCACCACGCACACCATGGCGCCCTGGGTCAAGGCCGTCTTCCTGGAGAGGCTGCCCACGCTGCTCTTCATGCAGCAGCCGCGCCACCACTGCGCCCGCCAACGCCTGCGCCTGCAGAGACACCAGCGCGAGCGAGAGGGGGCTGGAGCCTTCCTCTTCGGTGAGGCCCCGGGGGCTGACTCCTGCACGTGCTTCGTCAACCCCGCGTCCGTCCAGGCCTTGGATGGGGCCTTCAGTGCTGAATCCGCGCGAGGCGGCCCGGGGCGCTCTGGGGGACCGTGTGACTGCGGCCTCCGGGAGGCGCTCGACGGCGTGCGCTTCATCGCCGACCACATGCGGAGTGAGGACGACGACCAGAGCGTAAGTGCAACTGTGGGGACTCTGGGCGTGATAAACGGGGGCTGCCAGGTCCCCAGCATCTGGAGAACAGCTGCGTTGAGCAGGCAGGCAAAACTAGTGAGAGCATAGGGTACGGAGGATACGAGAATTGCTGGGGGCCGCGCTTGGCTTGGCTTCCCTGAGGTGGCGCTGCCTGAATTGGAGTCTGTACAGAATGACCTTGCGATTTCCTGCGGACTAGAGTCCCGGCCCTAATGCCTCCCCTGGGTCATCATTCTGGTCAGGAGCATGATCAGGAGCGGAAGAAGGCCCTGCTGGGTTTGCAGATGGTCTGTGAACTTAACCCGGTCTCTCCCCATCACTTGCACACCCAAGTCCATGTTTTTAATCTGCAGTTCTTAGTACAAATGAAGTGCCCCCCACCCGTGCAACCCACTAGAGGCAAATTGAGGGCACTAGAAGGTGTGTGTGTGTGTGTGTGTGTGCGTGTGTGTGTGTGTATACGCCTGTGTTGGGGGGATGGGTTTAAGAGGTTCCACTAGCTGGCTGGAGGTGGAGAGGACAGAGTCCCAAGTCAGTATCCCTTTTCTGCTCGTCTGGGTCCCCTGGGACGGCCTACTGAAATATTTATGGTGGTAGCAGCAAGGAGAAGTGCTTCCTAGGCCTGTGCCTCATCTTTCTGCAATGCAGCCCTTTGTGCAGTGACTCCCCAGAAGGGGACTCCCATGGTCTCTATATCCAGAAGCCAAGTATGATGAGTTGTCATCCCCCCATTTTTGACTGTGGCTGGTCCCATCCCCCATCAGTCTTCAGGTACCTGTCTGGTTCCAGGCTGTGGGTTAGCTGTTGCCATGGTGACTGGCCAGGTTTCCCTGGGATGCAGCCATTCCGGTTTGGGGGTGAGGAAAGGCAGCTGCTGCACTGCCATGGAGGGGAGGGCAGAGGTAGACTTCAGAGCTTGGTGATTCTATTCCCTGGGAGGGCAGGGTATCTGGCTGGAGCTGGGGCTTGGACCAGAGGACATGTTGTGGTCCTGATGGAACAATAGGGGCTCCAAGGCAAGAAGAGATGGGGCCAGAGCCTGAGAGTTGGCAAATGCTACATGGGAGATGGGGGATTTGCAGGGGCTCAGCCGGCTGCATCACCTGCCCCTGCCTCCCCACTGCAGTCCACTCTTGTAATGTGCATTTGCACTAGGTGTTGAGGATGCAGTGACCTACTTGATGCTTCATGGGCATCTCAAACTTAACATATTCAAAACTGAGTGCTCCATCTACACCCCTACCACCAACCGCTTCAATCTCCCCAGCTTTAGTAAATGGCATCATCATCCACCTAGTGAGTCAGACCAAAAACCTGGCATGATCCTTGATCCTCTGTTTTTCTCTTATTCCTTGTGCCATCTAATCATCAGTCTGTCCTGTAAGCACAACCTTCAAAATAATTATTAACTTTTTCCTTTCCCTTCCTTTCATCCCCATGATGCCCCCTGGGCCATAGGCCTTCATCAGCTCTTATCTGGATCTGGGTGGAGTCTCCTCATGTGTCCCTAATTCCACTCCTGTGCCCCTCTATCCAAGCTGACAATATCTGTCCCTCATTTGTGCCTTGCCTCCCTGTTCAGGTCATTGGCCTGTCTACTTGACCGTTCTAAGCAAGTTGAACGCTTTCCTGCCTCAGGACCTTTGCACATATTAGTCTCTGCCTGTATTTTTTGATGACTGTATTTTTTCCCTTTTAACAATTAATATTATTAATTTTGCTCTATTTTCCTGAGAGTAAATTGTAGACATTGTGACCCTTTATTCCAAATACGTCAGCATAGATGTAGGAACAGGGATACTGTCTGACATAACCTAGGTTCAGCGATCACATTCAGGAAATTTAGCATCCACGCAACACCTTTCTCTAACATACAGGCCATATTAAAAATTCCAGCTGTTTCAGTAATGTCCTTAGTAGCATCACCCCCAACCCAATCCAGGATCTCAAATTGCATTTAGTTCCCCTGTCTCCTTTGTTTCTTTCACTCTAGAACAGTTCCTCAGCTTTATCTCTCATGGCAGAAACATATTTGAAGGGTATTGGCCAGTTGAAAGTCCTTCCATTTGAATATGATTGTTTTCTTTCTTCAATTTATTTCTGCCATAACTGCTCCTTCTAGATTGCCAGACCTTAGCTTAAATGTCACTTCCTCCAAGAGGCCTTCCCAGACCATACCCTAAATTATATCATCCCCTCCATTTCTCTATCTCAGTCCTGTTTCCTTTAAGCACCCTCTACTGTGTAATTATTTTATTTTTACTCCTTTTCTGCTCATCTCCCTCAGTAGACTGTTTTGTTCTTCAGAGCCTAGCATGATGCAACATTCCAAATGAGTCTGTTTGGCTGCTGACTAAATGAAGGTGTGCAGTTGCCTCCCCCATGTGCCCCCTGGTCGGCTACAGATTAACAAGTGTACAGAAGCCCAGACCCAGGCTGGGGTGCAGCCGCCTGAAGGGTGCAGCCAGCCCTCTGTGAGGCCCTGTGACTGGTTCATACCCACAGACTGTTCTCTGTTTGCTCATATCTGGGGTCCAATACTGGTCCCCTCTAGGGTCTGCATGCTGTTGAGAGGTGTCCCTGCACGGACGTAGAAGGAGCGAGGGCTCCAGAGGCAGCCGCTCAATCCCTGATTCAGCACCCATTTACTGGACTGGCACTATGTATTCTGGACGCTGGGATTAGGACAATGAATCAGACAGGGTCCTTGTAGTTTAGGGGCTCATAGCTTAGGTGAGGGGAGGGAAACAGCATGCAAATTGAAATGACATAAAAATAAAGATAGTGCCATAAAAATACAAATAGAAATTTTAGGATAAAAAAGTTCAGAGGAAATGCAGAGGGGACAGTTGTTCGCTCTGATCAAGGGATTCAGGAAGACCTTCGTAGAAGCGGTGACATTTGATTTGGACTTTGAAGAATATATAGGAGTTCACCAGGTAGCGAGTGAAAGGGGGGACTGGAATTCTAGACAGAAAGGAAACCCAATGTCACAGAGAACTGTGAGGACACTTTGGGATTTGGAAAGTCTGGGTTTAGGGTGGAAGCAGATGGGAGATAGTCTCATATTTACATGGGTGGGACGTGATTCCGGTCTTGGGATTTTGAATGTGATTGTGACCTGAAGGCAGTGCAATCACTGGAGGCTTTTAAGCAGACATGCTTGGAGGCATGCTTTTTTTTTTTTTTTAAGATTTATTTATGTATGCATACAAGAACTGTGTGTGGAGTAGGGTGAGAGGATTCACCAGAGACAGAGTGGGGAACAGAACAGGTGGATCTACTGAAATACACTGCTGAGGGGGGCAGCCGGCGAGACAGGAGAGGTCTGGTGCACTGTGTGGGTGTCTCCCTGGCTGGGGATCGAACTCATGCTGCTGTGGGCAGCTTCCTAGGTTACGTCTTAACCCCTTGTGCCACCAGGGATGCCCGGATCCATGCTTTAGAAAGGTCACCCTGGGACTTCACAGAGGGAGAGGAGTGGGGTGTGTGTGCGTGAGAGATGGGACCTGTTTATTCCCCCTCCACTCCTGTCCCGCATCATGTGGCTGATACCTGGGCCTCCTTCGTCTCTCTGTCCAGGTGAGTGAGGACTGGAAGTATGTCGCCATGGTGATCGATCGTCTGTTCCTTTGGATCTTTGTCTTCGTCTGTGTCTTTGGCACCATCGGCATGTTCCTGCAGCCTCTCTTCCAGAACTACACCACGGCTACCTTCCTCCATGCAGACCACTCAGCCCCCAGCTTCAAATGAGGCCTCCCCAGCTCCATGCTCCTTCCTCCCTTTGCCCTCTGTTGTAGGACAGTTCTGGGTGGAGGCGGGATAAGTGAGCTACCAGGCCAAGGGGCACTGCCCCCAGAGATTCACCCATTTACTTCACCTAGAGCGCTACTCCCACACCTTCCCCATTCCCACAGCCATGCCAACCAGGAGGCTGGACCAGCTGTGAGCCTTTCAGCTGCTGTCCTCTTGTGCCAACCTGGGCAGCAGTGCTGAAGGTGGAGGCTGAAGGCTGAGAAGTAGAGGACAGAATAATAGTCTTCTACCTGGAGGAAAGCGTGATGGGGAAGGGGCCAAGAAGGGGCAGAATTATCTGCTGCTTCCCACTTGGTCAGTCGAGGGGGAAGGGGCGGGGCAGAGGGGCTTCCACTCTGCTGGGCAGGCCTGACACAAAGGTAACTCAGAAGGGAGGGGCAAGTGGAGAGAGGCCTGGGTGTGCCTGATGGGCAGCAGGACAGCAGCTGAGCTGGGTGGCCCCACAGCGGGCAGGGGTTTCTGTCCAGAGGTTAGGCTGGCGCTGAGATCACAGACTCCTCAGGTAGGTTCCAGCCCAGCCCCACAGCCCCTTGCTTCTAAGGGGTCCAGCTCCAGGTGACGACTTCTCTGACCTCCTGGACTTCCCTCTCCTTCCTTTCCTGCTTGGGCTGTGGGGGGTGGGCACACAGCCTGGTATTGGGAAGCATCTAGTCTTCGGGAGACCTGCTGAGAGCCTGAGGGGCGAGTATTAGAGTTACGTGAGAAGGGCAGGTTCGCAGCCTGTTTCCCCAGTGGAAGCATCAGTGCTTCGGAGTGGGGGCGTCAGCTTGAAGCAGACTCAGCCGTTGGGCCCCCAGCAAGCAGGGCCCCCAGCAGGCTGGGCAGGTGGCACGGGAAGTGGAGTCCAGCTGAGCAGGGAGGAGATGGCCGGAACTCCCACTGGGGCCGCTCCTGCTGTCCCCTGGCCCTGCTTCTCCTCTCCTCCTCCCAACTGATCCTGAACAGCTTGAAGCAGAACCTTAGAAGGCCAGGTCTGCTGCTGCCAGTGGCCCCAGAAAGCCTTCATGCCCTGTGGGCGCCTGGAGGCTGTTTCCTGCAGGACACAGCTCCCGTATGCAGCTGGAGGCCACTTGGCCAGTTAGGCAGGGAAACAGGACTTTTCATGGCTCTCTGCAGCCCCCACTGCAACTGGTTCTGATTTGTGGCCCTGGCCTGTACTCTAGGGGTAGCCAGGGGCCCACAGGAGTCTACCCGACAGACCACGTTGATCCCCGGAGCCCAGCTGGACGCTGCTTCTCCAGGCAGGGTGGAGGGGTGGTGCGGCACATGGTAGGGGAGGCTCTGGCCAGGGCGCTGGTCTGCATTCTAGTCCCAGCTCTGCCACTTCCTCGCTCGGCCATCGTAAGCAAGTCTCTGTCTCTCTGCCCCTCAGCTTCCCCATCTGTATTGCCCTCTTCCTGGAGGCTGAGAGGAAAGAAGTGGTGTTTTGGGAAAGCCCAGTGCTGTCCCTGCAGCTTAGATGCTTCATGGACTTCAGGTCTAGAGGCAGTTGGAGCGGGAGTCCCTTGACTGTCCTGTCAGTGTGCCCCCCACCCCGGGCTCATCCTTCTCTTACATCTATCTGGAGGAAACGAAGTCCCCTGAACAGGGCCTGGGTTCAGGGTGGGGGGCACATCACAGGGATGGCTTGGGACAGTCTGGGGGGGGGTCTACTTCCTGGAGCCTCCCGAGCACTTCCCTGCGGCTGCGGGGCTGAGCTCCCGATAGCTCTGGCCTCGCCTCTGCTCCTCCGGAGGCAGCTGTGTGCTCAGGGCCTGGCTGCCCGGGTCCTGTCCTGGCTGTGGGACCTTCAGCCAGCTGTTGCGTGAGCAGCGGCCCGGCATATTTTCCCACCGGCCGGAAGGGGCTCATGGTCCTCGCTTCTGCAAGGGGTTGTGTCGGCACTGTGGAGACTCCTTTTTTCTAGAATGGTAAATTCAGAGTTACTGTGTCATGCCTGGACCCACCTCAAACTTCTAGCCCCGGGGAAACCTCCAGAAGCCTGAAACAGCAACTGGAAAGGGCTGGGGCTGTGATCCTGAGCTCCGCTCCTGGCTCGCCTACACAGCTCACCAGGGCCCGGGCTGCTGGGGAGGCGCCGTCAGCACTCTTGTGGCTGGACATGCTCAGTACTTCCCGGAACTGGCTGTGGTCCCAGCGAGTCACCAGAAGGTGCTAGAAGTGATGTCAGACAGCAGCTCCTCCCCATGACCCATCTGACACAAGGACATTGAGGACTGGAGGTTGCTTGCTGCCTGGCCTCTTATCAGCACTTCTATCAGCGCTTCCCTCTGAACCTGTTCTTCCTCATGTAAGGGGGGGACACAACTGGCCAAGGGCCACAGGGAGGAAAGGAGGGAATTGCATATTCAAAGGAGTTAACTGGGCAGTTTCCTGGTTCTCTCCAACTCTGGGTACAGCCCTCTGGGGACCATCCCACCAGGGAGGAGAGGGCAAAGTTGGGGGATGGAGGCTCCACTGCACGTTTCCATGTGCAGCAGAGAGCTGGAGTCCCGCAGGGCCCTGGGAAGCTTCGCAGACATCATTCTCACTCTTGGGTCCTCTATCCCCCCTCGCTGATCTCCTGTCATAGTGGGGCCGTCTCTGGAATCAGGTGTCCAGCTCAGTGCTAGGTAAGGATTGGAGGCCCCAGATGTGGAAACATGGGACTGAAACCCGAGTGAGGTGACCTTGGAGGGGGCAGTGAGGAATCAAGTTGGGATGGTCTCCATCAGAGCCGGCAAGGCCACAGACGATCTGAGAACCATTTTTGTCTGAAAAAGGGGCACGTGTAGACAGACTCCTCTCGAAGGCTAACGCTGCAGCAGGAGGTGCCCAGTCTCCTGATGGTGAGATACCCCATGATAAACCAGCTGGCGCCAAGATAGTGAAAATTTAAAAGCAAACAAGACACAGGCCGCCCTGCACCTGGCACTTCCTGTAGAGGAAAGCTGGCATCTCCCTCGAAGGAAGAAGGGGATGGACTGGAGGATTTGGGGGGTTTGCCCACTGCTCTGTGATGTTGCCCAAAGCCAGTATCAGCCACTGGTTAACAAGGCCACTTGCTGTATTCCTCACAAGAGGCCTCTGTTGACAAGAGAAAATGAGACTCAGAGAGATGGACTGACAGCTGCTGAACAGTGCTGGGCCTGAGATCCAGGATGGTCCAAGCCCAGGCTGTCACTGCCTTGGAGGCAGGAGAGCACCTTGGGAGGGGAGTGACGGGTACTCAGGGTCTCCCCTGAATTCACTCTTCGAGTGCATTCACTTCCAGTGCTCACCTCCACTGCTAGGTGTCAGCAACCTCACCCCCGCACGGCGCTGGCCAGCTACCCACCCAGACTGGACAAGCAGCCACCTTTCTGGTCTTCATCCCAATAGTTCTGAGAGGTCAGCGTGCCACGTGGTTCCTAAAGACTATAGGTCTAGGGACTGTTAGGACACCTCACTCCCCCAACCTGGGTGCGCCCCACTGCCCCACAATGGCCTTGGCCTCCCTCATCTCAACTCCTGGAATGTTTGCATTGGTCTAGCTCACTCCAGGTCCCACTCATTAGCAACTCAAGTCTTATAAAGAAAGTTTTCAAAGACATCTGGTCTCTCTGTTATATTTGGGGGTGGGGAATCCTCACAGGCCAAGGTTGCCAAATAATGGGGAGAAGGGAAGATGCTGCGGAAGCTGGATTCGTGAGGTTGTAGACATTACAAGAGCCTAAAGGTAACGGTTCAATTGCTGTGATTCATGGCTTTGTAAGTCCATTGATCATGTGCAAAGGAAGTGGTTGGGCCTCGAGTAGACAGAGCCCAGACATAGCTGCTGGGGAGAGGGCAGGGTGGAAGTGAAGACCAGTCTTTTGCGCGTAAGAGTGCTGGGTCCCCTGCAGTCTGCTTCCAGAACTCTGATTTCATCCCGCTCAGTTCCTGGGAACAGTATTAAAGTGTAGGTGTCCTAGATGAAAGGCAGGGAGGGCCAACAGCCTCTGACATGGTGAGAAAATTCTGTGGTGCTGAGCTGGCAGGACAGCCCTGCTCCCCAGCACACAGCAGCGAAATGGGATAGTTTTGTTCTCTCTGCAGAATCTGGCATTTGCCTTAGGCATGAAGGAAAACTGTCCACTTTCTAAAAGGCCTGGATACTATAGTTCCCTCCTGGTGGAACCAAGAGATGCCCAAGCAGAAAGGCAGAGGTGCTGGAGGGCCCTGGCCCATCATGGCAGGTGGGCCTATGAAAACTGCACATACCCAGCGCTGTATTTGAGACTGAACAATGCCCACCCAGGCAGAGTTCTAGCCCTTACTTGTAATGGGCTCCAAATATGCCCACAGCCCTTCTGGCCTCCCTTGCATAGGGGGTGAGGAAAGGCTGCACTGGGGTTCAGTATGACCTCACTGGCAGGGTATCACTTTTAAAAGGTCAAGGGTGAGTTTTGTAGACATTGTGGATTAAATTGTGATGTGGAATGTGGTACATTCTTTAAGTAATTTGAGCTGGAGGAATATTCTGGATGCCATCTATGAAATAAAAAGCAAATGGCCTATCTTCTAAGACTGCAGCCATCCTGGTCCTGGTCCAGGATGCAGCTTTATTCCAAATAAGCACATCTCTGCAGGCACAACAGCTGGGGGCTGGGGTGATATAGAAAAACACCCCTCTAGGAGAGCCAGAATTAAGTGTATAATTTCGTCTCAAGGGCTGTTTTCCTATACCAGGTCTTGAAATCTTACATGTCCCGTGTCTGGGGAACAAGGTATTTAGTGGTGGGCACTGATGGGGAGGGGTGTCTGGTGCCTGCCCAGACACAGGCTCACCTGCCCAGGGAGGCCTTAGAGACAGCTCCTTTCTGCAGCGGAGGGATGCGCCTCGCCCTGGCGTGACAGGCAGCGGGCGCTATCACCAGGAACCCCCATCCCACTCTCACCTCCTCCAAGAAATCAAACTTGAAGCTTTCTAAGAATTCAGATTTTTTTTTAAATTTTATTTATGAGGAATGTATTTTTAATCATTTCTCAAGGGACACATAAAAGCAGAATCATAAAACTGACTGCAGTCATCATGGAACCCAAGTCTGCACCTGGGCGCTTCCCCACTTGCTCATGGAGTCACTACTAAACTCCAAAACCAACAAGGTCCCTTCAACGTGAGTAAAGGAAACAGCTTCAAGCGGCGACAATTTTTACAAGTGATTATTCAAAGAATGCACAATAGCCACAGTTCAGACAAATCAACTACAAAGATCATTAAAAAAAAAAAAAAAAAAAAGGACGGGGAAAGAAAGTCCTGTTATTAAAAACAAGATTCGACAAGTGAAGAGAACACTCAGGTGGGAGCACTGTCCTGTGTGACGCAGGGGTGTGTGTGGGGGGGTGGCCGTGCAGGGCCCAACACAGGCTTGTTTCCAGCAGACATGTGGGGTGTGGGGGTGCCTTGCTCTCTTCCTACAGCAGAAGTGGAATACTGCAAGTCTGCCAGAAGAGACCTCGGGGCCAGTCAGGGCTCTGGTCTTTGGGGAGCCCCTGTGCACCCGGGTTAAAGAAGAGGCCACTGAGTCAGCTCTGCAGAAGTTTCTAATGCCCAAGATGGACTGGAGGGGCTGGACACCCTGCGCAGTCAGGAGGTGTGACCCTCCAGCCTAAAGAACCGGGGGAGTGAGCTGCCTTCCTGAGCAGGGCTGACTTCAAGTGCCTTCAGCAATCACAGGACCGGTGGGCAGGGCTTTCCACCCCAGACATCAGGCATGGTCTCCCTTCTTACTAGTTCCTTGGGACACTGGTGTTCCACAAAGACATCCGTAGTGTATTTAACAACTTGGATTTTCCCAATTTGGTCAATTTTTGGTCAAAAGTACAGAGGGAACAGTAGCCACAAGAGTGAAAGTGCAAATGTGGATGTGTCTGCTGTAGAAGCATTGGGTGGGAGGGTTAACTAGTCAGTGGGGTGCGGGGTGCAAGGGAATGGAAAATCATCTGAGGGTGCTGGCTCGGCATGTTCACAGATAAAGAGAGGAATCATCTAGAGGAAGGAGGCAGGCTCAGGCCTGGAGGTGGCAGGGCCTCTGTACTTCTGAGCACATCTGCCCAGAGCCGGTCCAGAGCCAGACTCCACGGAGGGACCGAAGGCTCTGCCCCTGGGAGTCAAACTGAGGTGTAGACAAGGGTTGTACCTCACAGAGTTTTAGGACAACCTGCCCTTTCACCCACAACTATTGTCAACCCTGTAACGACTCCCTAACAGGCAGGGAGACCCCAGATCCCACCTGCCCACAAATAACCTTCTGAAGCTATCTGGCAAAACAAAAGCACCTGGATAAATGGGAAATCCCATCTGATTTTTAAATCTGTGCAATTACAGGTTATCTGTAGCATTTAAGAACCCAAATTTATGGCATTCCTTTCAGTACTCCTAATTTACCCATGATTTAGTTGACTTCTCTTGGTGTCACTGTCATCAGAAATAGGCTGGGTGGAAGTGACCTCAGCCAACATTTTTTGTCCTCTTTCTTGCTAAGTCCTGATTATCTGAGCAAAGATGATTTGCCCTCCAGGATTTGTCCTGGGTTTTTTCCTACCCGTGGGTTGGAGTCTATAGCCCTACTCCCCTCTCCTCTACCCCTTTGCCCCCCAGGACAAACTCTTAGGAATGCTTTAGAGGGAGGAGCAGTTACCAGCTTGGCAATATTCCATGGCATGCCTGCATTCCTGGGCCTTGGTCTGGTCACCCCACCCCACCCCCGCAGGGAGACCTCCCCTGTGCCCAGGCATTCCCTAGCCCGGTCTGGCTGGGCCTAGCCTTTCTGCAGCCTGGGGAAGGGATGTGCTGCCCGGTAGCAGCTTTCCCCCTCTCTTGACTCCTCCCAAGCTGGCTAAAGTGCAAGATCCAAAGATCACTGAGCATTACCTGCAGATTCCAATCACTTGGCACGGGTAACGAACTGACGGCAGTTTCAAACTCCTGCTCTTACAAATATTTCACCAAGTTCATTAAAGTTCACCTCTCCCCAGTCTTGGAGGAAAAGGAGAAACATACTGATCACAAGAAGGAATCTCAGAAAGGGAGGAGGGGAAGCAGAGGGGCCTGCAGAATCCACAAATGAAATCACCAGTCCCTGACGACATTCAGAGTCGACTGGAACCTAATCAAGACCACAAGAGGTCAGTGTAGCAAACACAAAAGGAAAGGAAATGGAAAACATTAGAACAGAACAGAAGAGGAAGTGGGCTGCAGGTGCTCAAGGACTGCTTAAGCTGAAAGGAAAGAGAGCCCCCTTTTTTTTCCCCTTAGGTCTCGACCTAGGACCTCTTTGCTTGGGAAAAGAAAAGGGGCTGACTAGAGTTGGTCTAGTATCCCCAAAGAAAGCAGGATAAACAGGAACTCAAAGTCCTTGGGATCACCAATTACGGTTCCATTAAAAAAAAAAAAAAAAAAAAAAAAAAAAAAGGGGAAAAAAGATAAAAAAAAAAAAGGAAAAAAAATCCCCTTGACTGACCTACCTCTCCCCCGAGTGTGAAACACCCCACCCCAGTCACTGGCTCACACTATACTGGGCAGAGGTAAAAATTCTTTTCCTCCTGGGGTTTGCTGATCCAGTTCCCATAGCCCATGTCCTTCAGGCTCTTTTTGAAGTAGTTCTTGGCTATCTCATAGTCACGGGCAGCTTTCTTGGCCTCACCATAGGAGAGTTTAAGTAGATCCCTGCGGTACCGGAAGGAGCAGAGCTTCTTAAATAGAAGAAAAATGTTCTTTTTGGAGACCCGGGACAACTCATTCCGTGGCCTGGAAAAACAAAAGCCTTCATTATTCCCGTGGGACAGAAAAGGTGGTGAGCCAAGGGGGACACTGCTAGGTGGGCAGCCCTTCAGCTGGGGCAATTAGCAAAATGTGGAAACCTGTGCTCCCCCATGTCCTCACCCGTCCACAGTGCCCCTGGTCCCATCCAGGATCTCCAGGTCGTAGCCGTCAGCCAGACACCAGTTGACGCTCGTCTCCTTGGTCTTCCCAGATTGCCTTTTGGAATCATATACACTGACTCGGCCAACCTAGGAAGCCCAGGAGCAGTGTGAGAAAAAGGGAAACCTTCAGGGGAGATTCTAAAATAGGGACTCAGGACTCAAGGGAAAGAGGGGTGGGGGGACCAGGATCTTCCCCGTTTAGGATTTTGTTTGGTTAAGACTGCAGACATGCTAACCCCACCTCCATTTAACTGAATTCCAGACTAGGAGGAGGAAAGCCCTTGGCATTCAAAAGGGGAGGCATGAGATCCCAGGATGCCAACTAAGGCTCCTCCTGCCCACAGTGGACATTTCTACTTCGCTGACAGGATTGCCTGAAAAGGAGAAAATGTTCACGGAATAAATGATGGGGGTATAGCACCTTGGGGTGGTTGACAACAAAGGGATGTCGGAGTCCATCCTGAAACGAATTCCCATCTCTTGTCACACGACAGCAAATAGCACGAGTCAGATGCCCTTGGCTGAAAAGGTAACCTGGATATGAAACAGAAATGGATACACTTGTGTTTGCACCAAATGCTTTTAAGAGGCAGAGACAAGTTGGGACTCCCTGGTGGCACAAGGGGTTAAGACGCAACCCATGAAGCCAGCTGCAGCCACTACAGCACGAGTTCGATCCCCACCCAGGGAGTTACCCATGTGCCGCAGCAGACCACTCCTGACTTGCCCGCTGCTCCCCTCTGCAGTGTTTTTCAGTCGATCTGTCTGTTCTGTTCCCCACTCTGTCTCTGGTGGATCCTCTCACCCCCCACACCTCTGCTCTGTACCCCAGTTCTTATATGCATAAATAAATAACTCTTAAAAAAAAAAGAGGCAGAGACACGCGGGGGTGGGGGGGGGAGCACGGTTTAAAGGTGCAAAACAGTTGTCGAAGCAGAGAAACCACTGCCTTGTTCAGAAGCATCTTCTGACTGTGGGTAGCCAGGATGGCCTGGGATCACCATAAGTACAGTCACAGCGTCCAGGTGAGTCAGGGCTGCGGAAAAGCGCGGTGTTAAGCTCAGCGCTTCTTTAATTCATCTCGAGAGTCGAGCCCGGTATGTCTGTACTTAGGCTTGCTGCCCAAACCCCTCTTCCCATCGCAGCTGGCCACTCAGCATGGGTTACTGACCACTACTGAGTCAGGCTCACTTTGAAAAAGGGAAAACATCCTGTTGCAGTTGGCTCACGTATGCAGTTGGCTGGGACATGGGCACTAGAACGACAGACTGGTTCCAGCTCCCTTGCTGAGTCGCTTACCAAGTGTGACAGACTTGAGATACACCGGCTGTAGGAAGTGGGTCAACAGTGCCCCTTGCAGGCCGAGCACATTCCAGCGTAGGATTTTGTCACTACAAGACATGGTGCGGAGTCTCTCCCCGAGACGAATGCCATCCCACGTAGGCACGATGTCACTGGACTCCACTGGGATGGTGCCCTCCCCTGTGGGTGAAACTTGGTCAGACCCATGGAGGCCCCTTGACCAGACAGCTCCTTGGCAGGGTATTTATGTTCCTTAGACTTGGGCCTTTGGCTACTCATTCATGTTTCACGGGACCTACTATGTGCTGGACACTATGCTTGGTGCTAGAAACCATGGGGAGCCAAACTAGTAAGACTATGGTCCTCCTGGAACATTATGGAGGCGAGGGGATAACAAGGGAATGGAACAGAGCCTAAACAAGCACACTAATATGTACGTAAGAATTCTAAATGGTAACAGAGCTCTGACGGTTTTGAGGGAGCTGGGCTGGAGGACAGCCAGAGGAATCTCTTGGGATAGAACTATCAGGAGAGCTGAGACCTGAAGGAAGAACTGCGCAAGTGTTCTGGACACAAAACAGCAAAGGCAAAGGCCCTGAGGCAGCAAGGGGGCTCGCTGTACAGGGAGCAGACACAGCCAGTGTGACTGACGCAGTGTTCAGGTTTTGCTTCTATATGAAGTACCGTCGGAACCACTACAGGGGAGTGCTTTTGGTGTTTAACAGCTCTCCTGAGATCCAGTTTACCATGTAAGGCACATAATTCAATGATCTGAGTTGCGCAGCCATTACCATACCCAACATTAGAACATTTCATCACCCCCAAAAGAAACCTTCTAGCCATTAGCAATCACTCTCCACTTCCCCCAACCCTTCCGATCCCAAGTCCTAAGCAACTACTCATTTACTTTCTGTTTCTGTGGATTCACTTATTTTGGAAATTTCCTATCAATAGCATCATAGAATATGGGGTCTTTTGTGACTGGCTCCTTCACCTCTTGTTCTCAGGGTTCACCCATGCTGTAGCATATAGCAGCACTTCTCTCCTTTAAATGACTGAGTAAGAGTCCATTGTGTGGACACGCCTCATTTTGTTTACTTGTTCATGGGTGGATGGACACGGAGTTAGGAATAATGCTGTTGTGAACACACACGCCAGTATCAGTGTGGGCATTTGTTTCTGTGTCTCTTGGGTGTATTCCTAAGAGTGAACTGCTGCATCAGATGGGAATTCTGGGTGTACACCTCAGGATTTTGAGCAAGGAAGTGACATGACCCAATTTATATTTGAGGATTACTCTGATAGCTATATTAAGAAAGGCCTGAAAGGAATAGGACTGGGTGTGAGGAGAGAGTAAGACATCAGGAGACAGTGGAGGAGAAGGAGCTGGCAAATGAGGCAGAGGATCTGCCACCAAGCAGACAGGAGGGGGATCTGGCTCTGCTCTTGGGGCCTGGCTCTGCACCGTTCTCTGGATTGTCTCCGCCCTCCCCCGAGGAAAACCTACCAATTCCAGTGGCTGTAAAGATCAACCACAGGAGGATGACTCCCACATTTTCATTTCCAGCCAGGCTCTCTCTTGAGTTTGACACCAGTGAGCTCTGCCCCCTATCTGACTTGGAAATCTCCCAGACTACCAAATTCAAAATATAATCTTGATCTTTCTAAAGATGTCCCCATACCTGGGTCTTCCCTCTCCTGTAAACAAGGCCCTCGTACCCCATCCATGAAGGGCACACACCAGGCCATGGCCCCCATGATAGGAGTGGGTTCTAATGGCCTTCCAGTGGGAAAGAGAGAGGACATGTCACTCACCGTTCTCCACCTTGGTACGCAGCTTGCCTTGCTTGGGATTCTCAAAGACAGGGTAGTGGCGGGAGTCTGTGCTCTCTACAGCACGGTCGCTGCAAGACTTGTCAAAGAGGGCGCCATCCCCACATGGGGCCGTGCTGCAAAACAGGGGTCTCCATTAAAAAGAGCCAGTGCAGAAATTTCTCTCCACTTTCCCAGGGCTCAAGAACAGGCGGATGGAGTAGAGGCGAGGAACATTTCCTGAGGCTAGTGGAAGTGGGCGAAAGCATAGGTGAGGGTTGTTCCCCACCAGGGTATGTACCTCAAACAGAACTGGGTGTGGCCTATTGAATAAGCTCTGACTTACAAACCAGGAAAACATCTGGATACCCAACCCCCAAAAGCCTGGGAAGGCCAGGTTTGGTGGCAACAGAGACTGTGCAGACCTGATATAGAGATGGAACGACACGGTCTTTTTAATTTGCAGCTTTTCTCCTCCCTTGGCAGGCTCAAATATACTATCCTTTGCAGTCTGGGGGTTGTATTTCATTAACTCACTGTAGAGAAACCTGTAAGGAGAAAAGTCTGGTTAAGACAGGCTTGATTTCAGAAAGGCAGTTGCTTCTACAATCTGACCTTGAGTAAGGAAAAGCAGGCCCCACGTGAGGAAAAGCCTTGATGCTTCAGACCCTGTATGGTTTCTCAGGTTGAAAGAGGTGGTGGGAAATTCTCCATTGGAGAACTCAGTATTTCTTAGAACAAAGTTTGCCTTTGGGGTCAGTTTTAGTTCTGTCAAGGGCTCCTCATTCTGGTGGCTACAGGGATTCTAAGGCAGAACAAAATGGATTCAAGACTAATGGGAGACTGGGGCTTCTCCCTGAGCCTCTCCCTTCATAAATTATAGAAAAGGGGAAGCTGGCAGGGCAGTGGGTTGTTTATGGGTCTCCCAGTGGAGATGGAACGTTCTCATCCCGAAAGCCCGGAAGACCAAGAAGTCATTTTGTGTTTTTTAAATAAAAGGCATGGAGCAGTGTTGGCAAAAAATGGTAGAGCACTTAAAAGCAGGCTGAGCAGGATGCAGCCCAGGTTACAGAGGAGCTGGATTTTGCAAGGCAGGTTCAGACAGACTGGCAAGGCAAAGGCAGAGACTGGGGGTTAGTGACCTGCTACCTGGGGGCCGCCGGCCACATGTCCTGTGTTGGTGCCAGCCAATCCCGCTCACCTGATGAAGCCTCTCCGGGAGATGATCTCTGCATGACAGTCGTTGACAGTTTCTCCCTTCAGGCTTAGAGAATCTCCCTTTACACAGCGATTCCCTGGGAAGGCATGTAAAGCGAATGTGAACTTTCCAAAGGAAAACGATGATGAATAGGGTAGAGGCTGTTTGTTCTCAAGAGTCTGAAGACGGAAACAGCCTCACTTTTTCAGATCCCGACTCTCAAATTCTTGTCCCAAGGAAACGAAAATTCATTCCCCATCCTGAACTAATATAAGTTTTCCCTCCTGAATTAATATAAGTTTTCCCTCGCACACAAGGGACTCCAGCAGAGAGTGAGGAGGAATGCTTCCAGGCACTGTGAGGGGTGGGGGGCTGGGGTAGCATGTTTCAGAGCCCCCGTACCTGTCCCCAAGCTGACGACGACACCCATGTCTTCCGAGTCTTTCTTCATGATGATGGCAGCCAGGATCTTGCGGCCCAGCAAGGAGGGCTGGAAACTGTTGGTGAGAGCGTTGAAGCACCGGTGGCTCAGCATGGCTATCTGGTCATGGAAGGTGCTGCCTGTGAGAGGGAGCTGTGGGGACAGAGGTGCGTCAGGGCCACAGAGCCTAGTCTGCATCCGCCACATTTCAGAGTGGACAGGGCTCGTGTTCTACTCAACACAGGAGTCATCTTTCCCCCTCTCACATCTAGCGTCCCAGTTCTATGTTCTACTGAGGCTAATATTAAAGCCTAGGAATGAGTCACATAGCAAGCTAACAGCCAACTCCACCCAGAGAGGAGTTAGCGGGACCCCCAAAAAAGAAGGCACCAAAAGTAGACGTCTTAACTGTCTTTGGCTTTGCTTCTGGGGACCTTGAGAGGAGGAGCATAGTTCTTCTGAGACTGGCCCCTGTCACTGGGGTTACCTCTGTGAAACCCATGCGTTCTGCCTTCTCGTTCTCCCCAATCAAGACGCGGAGAGCCGCATCTGCTGCTTCCTGCTTGCCTTGCTTCTTGCTGTGTGCGCAGACGGCTGGGAACCAACGACCCCCAACTTTTGCTTGGTAAACGAACCTTTGCAAAAGAGGGAAGAAAGAAAAGCACCAGACTTTGACAGCTGTTCCAGGGAAGGGCTAACTTTGCTTATGATGTGGCTGGTCTTGCCAATACACGGCCCATCCATTATTGCTGATAGCTCTGTTTCTAAGGCAGCATTTCCCCAGACTTCAAATGTTCACAAACCACAACGCGATTTTTGTTAGATCTAGACATCACTGGGACTATTATTTGCTCAATATTTTTTTTCTAAATTGACTCCTTGTAAATGTAAACACATTTTAAAAGGAAACTTCATATCACTATAAATAAATGGAAAACTAGTATCATCATAAATTGAAGGTGGATGTATAAATAGGATAAAAGCCTGTTATTAAATTCTAACTAGATACGATTGACTGCAAAGACACAAGGCCTATCTTTATTAGAGGAAGACTAGTGAGCAGTGGAGAGGGTTTAAAGCCACACTGACACCAGGCATGCACTTTCTGCCGAAGCAGAGATGAGAAAGGAGTAGCTTTCTTCCTATTTGACTATTTTTTAATGCTGTCTGATTTTTAAAGTACCTGATTCCATTTGCTCTTCAATTCCTGATTAGCTCAAGAGGACTTACCCTGGAAAGGTCAGAATGTGAAGATCTACCTAAGATCAGGGAACCAAGCTTTTGTGAGGAGTCATTTTTGATTCCTGGGAGCCTTGAGCTGGCTCTGGGGGAAGGGAGAGTCTCCTGGGCACACCAGCTCTGCTGATGGTCCAGGCTACCAGAGCAGCAGCAAGGTGGGCAGGGCCACAGGGGCCACAAACACAGAGGAACAAAGCCAGAAGGGAAAAAATGGTTTGAGCATCTACCACACAAGGTTGGAGAATCCTAGCTTTCCACTGTTGGGGAATGAAGCTTTGATCCTGCCAATTGCATGTAAGAAAGGCTTCAGGATCAAGATTTATGTGGTCAGGCACCTGTTTTTACAGTCAACCACACTGACCTAACCATTATTCCTCACTTATCCTAAGGCAGCTGATTCCTTCATCCCTTTCTTCACCTGATCCCAGCAAGTTTGTGCAAGACTAGTGGGCTAGAACCCAGGGAAGGAGAGGGCGCGTGGCATGGAAAGATACTGGACAGGGGGTGAGGGCCAAGCAGTGTAGGATCTTTGCCCAGATATCCACAGTTTTACATTGTTCTTTGAAGATATATATCAAATATATATATGTATATATATAAATGATAAAATTGGTAACTATGCAATTAGAATCCTTTAGCTGCACTGTCTAACGTGGTAGCTTTTAGTCACATGAGGTTATACATTTTAATTCAAATTCAGTACAATTAATGATTCAGTTCTTCAGTCACACTGGCCATATTTCCAGTGCTCAGAACTACATATGGTGAGCGATTAGCTTTTTCAGTGGGATGCTAGGGACAGAAGCCTAATTGGAATGATTTAAGAAAGGGAAGCCAATATAACCAATTCATATAAACAATTCTTTCAAGAAGTTTGGCTGTGAGAGGAGTAGAGAAATGAAGTGGTACTTCGGGGGACATGTGGGGCTAAGGGGACATTTTTTAAAAAGACGGGCACGGGCATGTTTATATCTATGGCAAAGGGAACAGATGATGACCAGATACCTGAAGAAGTAGACAGGAGGGGAGGGGACTAGGCACAGATATAGGAGGAAAGATGCTTCCTGATACAGGTACAAGAAGGTGGAGATGCAGGCAGGGAGGTGGACTTCGTAATATGAATTAAGGTGATCAGTTTAGAGTGAGAAAGAGGGTTTTCAGTGGAAATTTGAAGAAAGAGACAAAGGTCTGAAATGGTTTTCTCAGAACAAAAACGTAGTAGGAAAAATAATGGGAAGAGGGCACAGGTGGAGATGGGGGCAAGTGACGCTCCTTTTCTAAAACCCTTCTGTGGCTTCTCACTGCTTGTGTGTGAGAGCATTAGCAGACCCACAGGCTCTCACAGGGGGCCCCATCATCCCTCAAGTCTCACTGGGCATCAAGCTTTCCTGTGCCCTCTGCTCCACCTGCACTGGCCTGCTTGTGGCTCCCTCACCAGCTGTGCTCTCCTGGCACCAGGGAACTTGTGGCAGACCATCTCTCCCTAGAGCCCACTGTCCTGCTTACCACCCTGAAGGTCTCAGCTCAGCATCATGTGTCAGGGAAGCCCCTCCCCTCTCCCTGCTAAGTCAGACCACATTACACAGATCCTCACTTCACTTGTGCTCCTTGGAATATGCATCAAATGAGATCTTACGTTCTTTATGTGAATGCTGATTCATATCTGGCCCCTGCACTATAAATAGAACATACTCTGTAAATATGTGTGGAATGAATAAAATTGGGAGAACGGGAGGCTACTGTTTTGGATGAGAGAAACAGTGGCTTAGCCTAGTGTGCTGACACTGGTGGTGGAAGGACGTGGAAGGGACTGGGTAGCCGTAGGTAGAACAAACAGAACTTAGGGAAGGTTTGGCTGAGATGAAGGGACAGAGAAGACGATCCCCAGCTTTTGGCGTGTAGCTAGGGGGACAATGGCATGGCTTACTGAGATGAGAAAGACCAGGGAAAAGGAGCTTAAGGGGATACAAGTCCAGACAATTCATGCTAGAGACGCCTATCCATGCGTACAGATATGTACCCATGCAGCAGGCAGCCTGACAGAGGAATCGGGAACTCTGAAAAAAATCTGAATAGAGATATAAACTTAGGACTCTCCAGCCTTTAGATAGTGGAAGTCATGAAATCAGTTTATTATGAAGAGCGGAAAAAAAGAGGACTCAGCATAATTCATGTTAAGAAGGAAGTGTGTTACTTTATTAGATGAGAAATGTAGCTCCTCAATCAGTATTCTGCTCCTCCACACATCCTTCCTGACTCCCAGGGGATATGGGCAACGTGCACCAAGTTCCCACAGCCTGGACTAACACTGTGTTATGGTCATGTATGTGTGGTACACTGCAGGGCAGGGATTTTTCATGTCTTCAATCTAATTCATAGGAAATTCTCAAATTCTGAATGAGTAACTGACTTGAAGTCCTAGGAAGGATTTGATAAAAGATTTTTCAAAAGAGAAAGAGGACGTGGACAGACCCTACCTCACGAAAGGTGACGTTAAACATAGGGGCGGGCTCACTGAGCGAGGGATCTGCACTAGCAGAAGAGCAGCCGGAGGAGTTGGCGCCGCTCCTTCCCAGACGGAGTTAACCCACGGGCACATGCTCACTGGTCTAACACGCTCTAAACATGGCTTGCCACAATGGAGAAGGGAAGAAGGCCTTTCCTGCTCCTTCTGAAAGGTTCAGGGTTCTAAATTGGGTCAAGCTAGCCAAAGGGTTAATTTTTTATTACCTTAAATGCTGCTACATATCCATAAAGAGTAACAAGCCAGGGCCTCCCCGGTGGCGCAGCGGTTGAGCGCTGGTTGCGAAGCTGCCAGCAGCCTCTGCAGTGCCGGTTCGATCCCCGGCTGCTCCCCAGCCACCGGAGGAGGGTCCCACATGGCACGCAGACCTCTCCTGCTGCCCGCTGCTCCCCTCAGCAGTGTACTTTGGTCCTTCTGCCTGCTCTGCTCCCCGCTCTGGCTCTGGTGAATTCTCTCACCCTCCCGCGCTTCTGACTGTACCCAGTGCATGTATAAACAAAACAAACAAATGAATAAATAAATAAATAAATAAATAAAAAACATGCCTCTATTAAAAAAAAAAATTAAAAAAAAAAAAAAAGAGTAACAAGCCAAAAGAAAATGGATAAAGACAAGCCTGGGGAGTTCACAGAAAAGGGAATCCAAATAACAGACAAACATGAATAGGCTAATGACATTACTTACTGTTAAGACAAACTTTAAATAACATAGCATTTGATGAGCTTTTCTCCTTAATGACTTTTTTAAATAAAAAAGTTGGACATCACACAAGTGAAAATTTAAACTCTTCAGGATATATTATGAAAAGCATCCTTTCCAGCAAAAACTGTTACCAGTCTTTCTCAACCCTTCATGAAAATATGCATGTGTAGGCATGCTACTTATATGTCACTTTACGCCTTGCTGTGTCATCAACAATATACCTGAGGCCATTTCCTACAAGGTCATGCATTACTTAACGATAGGGAATACATTCTGGGAAATTCATTGTTAAGTGATTTCATTGTGTGAATATTACAGAGTATAACTGCTCAGACCTAGATGGGATGTTACACACCCAGCCTGTGTGGTATAGCTTACTGGGACCATCACCCATGTGTGCTCTGTCACTGACCAAAACATCATTAAACAACATACGACTGTAGATGTGTCTGACTCCTTTTTATGGCTGGGTAGTAGTCCTTAGTGAAGATGTACCCCAGTTTACTCAACCGCTCTGCAAATGACAGAACTTTTATCTCTTTCAAGTCTTAGATTATTATAAACAGTGCTGCAATGAAAATTTCTGTACTCATGTCATATACACACATGCATGTGCACGTGTGTGTATGTAAGAATTTGTGGAGGTGGCACTGATAGCTGAAGGCTTTGTTATCCGTATCTGCCCTTGGCCATAGAGTAGATGACGAATTCATTACTCTTGCTAACACTAACAAAGTATATAGTTAAGTTACTATGTGAGGTTGAACACCTTTTCATTTATTAAAAATTATGTTTTCTGTGAATGTACAGAAAATACAAAATACAAAAAAATAGATTTTTTTTGATCTGAAAAGAACTGTTTTTCTGTTACATTTAAAAAGAACTTATATATTTAAGAAACTAATCCTTGGGCTGTTGTTGTGTTCCTAGTGCTTTTTTTCCAAGTGGTCTTTTTACTATACACTGATTTTATTTATAGTCACATTTCTGCCTTTCCTCCTTATAATTTTAATGTTTTGTGTCTTGACTGGAAATTTTTTTCCACTTCCAAGTTCTAAAATAAATCCCAGATTTTTTACCTAGTGATTTTATGATCTTGTTTATTGTATATTTAAATTTTAGATCTAGTAGAATTTAGGTGTAGAGAAGGAACTATCCAGCATTCTTTTTCTAAAGCTAGATAGCAGTTTCAATATCAATACCAAGTCATCCACCATATCTCCACTGATTTTTGAAGCCTCATCTTATAATCTAAAGTTCCCATTCATGTCTGTCTACATTTACAAGGTCTATTCCCTTTTACAGACCCACATGCTAATAGATTATTTTAGCATTTGCTAGGCCAGAACACCTATGACTCTTCCTTTTCAGAGAGTCCCTACCTATCCTTCTTGTATGTTTACTTTACATGATTCAGAATCAAAATTTCTAGTTCTGAAATAAATAGATGTCTTCTACAGTGTTTTTGGTGGGATCACATTAAATATGAAAATTTCTCTGGGAACAGCTGTTATCATTCAATTATTTCTTTCTAATAACAGAGTATTTTACCTTATTTAATCAAATTTTCCTTTATGTCCTTCAGCAGAATCTTACTTAACGCAGAACCTCCTAATTCCTACTAAAAATGTATACAAGTTACTTCTCTTTTGAGTCGCTATATTTTTTCTTCTGTATATTCTAATTGCTTGATTTGTATATATTATCTTTTAATCCCCTACTTTCTCAATAATTCTTCAATTTTCTCATGAGTATTCCAGGTAAACAATCATATCATCTGCCAATCATGATAGCGTTACCTGTCCTTTCCTCTCCTTATACAAATTCTTTCTTAAAGCAACTGTAATAGCTAGTAATTCCAGAATGATATTAAATAACTGTGACACTGGTATCCACATCTTCCTCCTGACTTTAATGGGAAAAGTTCTAGGTTCAACAGTAGTAAGCTGCTTGCTTTTGACTTTAGACATGTACTATTATGCTCAGGAGGTATCTTATAACTTTCATTTTACTGACAGTGTGACTTTTAATCTGAATGGAAAGTACCTTTTTGGAATCCCTAGAAATGGTCATGTGGTTTTTCTCCTATATGAACATGGTAAATAATGATAATAATAATTCAAGTAGATCTAACCTTTGCCCTGAACTATAACACCATTTTTCATATTTTAGGACAGCAAAGATAGAAATCCCGATAATATATTGGTCATCGCGTAGAGAGACAGTCATTCTCATGTACTGCATAAACAGGTACAATCTCAGTATAGGAAAATTTGGCAGTGCTTACCAGAATTTAAAAACACATAAACACGCTAGTCATTGCTATATTGTTCACAGTAGCAAAGTCTGGAAACAATCCAATTATTCATCAACAGGGTCTGATTAAATAAATCATGATGAACCTGTGCACTGAACACTATGCCTAGCAGTTATACACAAAGAATATAAAGTGATATGAATAATTCTCCAAGATAGTATTTTTATAAAACGCAAGCTACACATCAATGCATGTATGTACTTCTGTATAACAAAAGTGGAAATAAGGGAAAATATGCTTGCTTAGGTTTAAATAGATATTCCTGAAGGACATACAATAATGTAAAGTTATCACATGTTGGTATCTGCGGGAGACAGTATGAGTTGAGCTAAAGAAAGAATGAATGAGAATGAGCTTTTTTATTTCTTTCGATTTTATTTTTAAAGATTTATTTTCATTTATGCATACAAAAACTGGGGTGCAGGCCAGAGGGGAGGGGTGTGTGTGGGGGGTAGGGTGAGAGGATTTACCAGAGACAGAGTGGGGAGCAGAACAGGCAGATCTACTGAAGTGCACTGCTGAGGGGAGCAGCAGGCAAGACAGGAGAGGTCTGCTTTGCCATATGTGGGTTAGCTCCCTGGCTGGGGATCAAACTCATGCTGCAGTGGCTGGCGATAGCTTGATAGGGCTGAGACTTTAAACCCTGCGCCACCAGGGAGGCCCCTATTTTTTAAATTTTTGAATAAAAGTTTTTTATTTTGAAAAGTCTATTACTTATACCCTCCAAAATGTATACGACCTATGGTCCAGAAATTTCACTCCTGGAAATTTATACTATTGACAACTTTGACTGTAAGCAAAGACATATGGTGTGAGGACAGGCACTGCAGGCATGTTTCTAATAGTGAGACCAAAGCCAATCCAAGCGGAAGGTTGTTAAAGAAATTAAAGATTTATTTATTTATACAAGAACCAGAATACAGGCCAGATATGTGGGCACGTAAGAGGATTCATCAGAGACAGAGTGGGGAATAGAACAAGCAGACTGACAAAATACACTGCTGAGGGGAGCAGCAGGCGAGACAGGAGAGGTCTGCTGTGCCATGTGGGTTTCTCCCCGGCCGGCCAGGATCAAGCCCATGCCGCAGAGGCTGCGCACAGCTTCACAGTGCGCTGCTCAACCGCCTGCGCCACCAGGGAGGCCCGGTTAAATAAATTACACAAGGTGGGAGCTGCAATGGCGCCAGCATTCTCTTTCTTAAACTATGAGGTAAGTACAATTTTATAAAAGAGGCTTTGTATCTCTTTTGTAAAATACACCAATTTTTTAAATATAAGAATCTAGGGCCTCCCCGGTGGCGCAGCGGTTGAGCGCTGGGTTGCGAAGCTGCCAAAGCCTCTGCGACGCCGGTTCGATCCCCGGCTGCTCCCCAGCCACCGGAGGAGGGTCCCACATGGTGCGCAGACCTCTCCTGCCGCCCGCTGCTCCCCTCAGCAGTGTACTTTGTCAGTCTGCCTGTTCTGCTCCCTGCTCTGGCTCTGGTGAATCCTCTCACCCTCCCGCACTTCTGACTGTACCCAGTGCATGTATAAACAAAAAACAAACAAACAAACAAACAAATAAATAAAAACATGCCTCTATTAAAAAATAAAAAAAAATATAAGAATCTATTATGTCAATGTATGTAGCTGTAAGGAAAGTCTGGTACATCTAAATATGCTGACTGGCAATGCTCTCTAAGATATACTGATAAGGATTCAAGGAGTAGACTACAAAGTATGGCATATTTTTTTTTAAAGAAAACGTGCTAATATATGCATGGAATTTCTAGAAGGACTCAAGAAACTAGTGATAGTGAATGTGTCTGGGGAGGGAAACTAGAAGTCTAAGCTAGAAATGAGACTTTTCATTACATACTTTCTCAGCTTGAATAGTTTTCTCTGTCCACACAGATGCCTAAAACATTGGATTAGTGAAAGAAACTGTAAAAGGATCATACTTACTGGAAGACTGATTGCATTCATGAGACCACAGAGACAGGGCTGGACTTTCCCTCAATGTGCTAATGCCCGACAGCCATAGCTAAGGCACCTGTTTCTGTCCCTGGGGGACAGGCTGTCCCCACCCTGTGACACATGGCCATAGCCAGGAACACTCACTTGGGCTCATGAGGAGGTCCAGACTGGTCAACCAACTTGAACTCAGCAGCAAAGCCATGGGAGCGGGCGTACTCCAACAAGCCGCCCACAGGGTTGGTGTTCAGATATCTGACGAGCTCACCAATCCTCCTGACCTTGTTGGGCATCACAGACTCCAAGTTATCGAATGATTCTGAACTGGTGCTTCCGGGCTAAAGGAGAATTAGCCAAAGAGGAACCATAAATACTTAAGGAAAGTGAATGATTCATGGGCAGTTCAAAGCCACTCAGCTGCTAAAAATGAGCTGTATCCTACTAGTAAGAAAATGGCCCCACCCACCTGCTCATCAGAGGATGTTGAGTTGGTTGCCTCCCCCTGCAGGGCTTTCATGGCTTCCTCCGCAGCCATCTGCTTTGCTACCTTCTTGCTGGGGGCACTCGCAGTGGGGAAAGTATGGGTTCCCACTGCAACACAGTACTGGAACCTAACAGATGAAAGGAGAAAGATTAAAATGGTTTTGATTAGCGAGACTTACCTAGCCTTTGTCGGACTGCCATCCTTTATGACTTGCCATTTCCTTGCACACATCACCTATGTGCCTCAGCTCATGTGGTCACTTCTGCCTTGAAGAGCAGGTGCCTTTCACCCTCCTCCTGTCCCCGTCTCTCTGAGCCTGGCTGATCCCTACTCGACCATTAAGCATCAACCTACGTTCACCTCCTCCAGGAACCCTTCTCTTGAACATGTAAGTTTGCAGAACCTCAGAGCAGAGAGCTTCTCAGGCATGCCCATGTGTTGTACCTTTTTGTCCCACCACCAGTAACCTCCAAGCTGTGTATCTCCCTAGTGCTTGGTCCCTGCTTCGCCCTTTGAATTCCTAATCCCGATTTTGTGCTCCACAAGCAACAACCATGCCCTCAAGGCCCCCCTTTTTCCATATTGAAAACAGGAGTGATTGCTCAGTGAAATAATCTGCCATCTCTGAGGAGGCAAGGAAGAAAATGTATCTCTCTCTTTTTTGAGAAAACCTCAGCAGAGATACATGATACAAGAGATGTACTTGGGGTCATGGGCAGGGCCTTCTCTGGATAGGAGGCGGAATTCACAGGAGCTTCCCAGCTTGTGCACACACTCAAGCAATGTAGTGACGGGGCTCTTCCCAGAAAACAAGGATGTTGCTGAAGGGGTGGTGGGCTGGGACTCTGCAGTCTGGAGAAAATGAAAGACAAGAAAAAAACAAAAACTAAGAAAACAATGGCTGGTCCACCACAGCAGCAGGAACGGGGATGGGGGAACTGCTTAGCTCAACTACATGTCAGGGGCTGGCGTGGCAAAGGAACACAGGGAGGGGTGAGTTATTTAAATGTTCTGGTTCTCAGTTCTTATTGGCAGAGAGAGGAACTTGGACCTCATAATCTTTAAGATCTCTTACAACTCAGAAATTTCATGATTCTGGTAAGTTGGAAGGGGGCGAGTAGGGAACCGGCTATGGAGCGAGGAGGAATGGCAGACTGGGGAGTCGGGGAAGGGAACAGGAAGCTGACTCAGATACACAATCAGGTGCTTAGGCCGAGAATGCACCAAGAGGGCCAGTTACAATCCTGGTGCTTTTTCCCAGAGGGCAGGCCACCTACCTTCTCTGATTCTTTCTCTGCAGAATAGTAGTATGACTCTTCTGATCTTCCACTGTCCTTGGCTTTAGCTTCCTCAAGCAGAATTGTCATGGCTTTCATAGCTGCATCCTGCTTGGCCACTTTCTTGCTGCCAGCTTCAGCTGGGGGAAACTCTCGGCCACTGATGACAACTTGGAATTTAAATCTTGATGGAAAGTGATTAGATGTGTGAACACTAGTCTAGGCCATCCCTTCTGCCCTCTCCAGAGATCTTCACTCTGGAATTTTCTGCTACACTAAGGGGCTTTTTGATGTGTGGAGGAGATGGAGGGTAGGCCAAGGGACTCCTGTCCCTTTGGAGGCTCGACCTGTACCTACTTTTTGGAAACAGCAGCCAGTGAGTCTCTCCCCAGAACTCATTCAAGTAAACAAAGCCACAGGTGAGATGAAACTAACTCATGGGAAACCCACTATCTCTTAGCAATGAATTAGGACAAAGTCAATACTAAAAATGGTGATCTAAGATCACTGTCACAGTCTTGTTTGCAAGCAAAAAACCTTCATCCTAAAGCAACTGTGGTAGACTGGCCGCCTCACAGGCAGTTCCTAGAAGGACACGAAGGCCTTCTACCGCGCAGTCTCACACTCCCCATCACCCACAGGGATCACACACCTGTCACTTCTCAGGGCCTGTTTCTGTCCCCAACCTATTCTCAGAGACACAGCACTCTTACGGTTTGTTTTGAGTCACTCTATAGCTCTATTTGAAGTGTGAGATGAAAGTATTTCCCCTTGTTATGCAGAAAACCAAAAAGCATTTTTCTAGGTCTCTGGACTTAGCTTAGGTCTCCTTTGTTCAAGCTTTCCAATTTGTTCAGCTCTTTGCTCAATCTGAGATTTCATTTAGAAAAGAAGGTCAAATTTCTTATTTCCTAGGTCTTCTTAAAAATTTTAACATGGCATCCATGTTTCTCATAGCTGGAGTCCAAAGAAAGGTCAACCACAAAGCCCCCTACTATTTCCAACTTTGGGGAAAAGGATGGAGAGGAAAGAAAGCGATGACGGCCATCCAGTCTCTACTCCAAACTGAAACAATGCAGTTCTGGCCAGGTCAGATTTTGGACACCCCCGTCCCTTTGTCGTCAGCTCGTTTGAAAGCTAGGGCAGGAATGAGAGTCATGGCTGGGGATCCTTACCCTGGGAAGCCAGCCGAGGTTAACACAAAGGGGTGTGTGCTCTCTCCCGCCCTCCCTGGGGCTCTATGGCGTGCAGCCCCTGGGTGTCAGTGGACTCTGCTCTCCACTAGGCCCTTCGGCACTCCAGCACCTCCTGGACCCACCTGTCCTCCTCAGTCTGGAGGAGCCTACGGTGCAGGGCCTGGCCAGCTGTCTGAGTGAGGCAATTTCTGATTCACAGCTTAGGAGCAGCAGCAAGTGCTAGCCCACCCATCTGTGCAGAGGAGGTGTGTAAAATTAGAACCACCACCTTCAACAGGCAGGCAGCGTGCACCATCCCTTCCCTTCAGGAGCTGAGCAGAGTGGGGATTTTGGACCTGCTGCTGCTAAGCAGCACAACCCACCATTACTCTGTGTGCAGCCTGCCCCAACCCACCTGTTCTTGCACCTCTCTGGAACTCAGCTTGGGGGAAAGGGAGGATAGCACAAGGAAGGGGTGGGGAGGGCATCAAGTCCTCATTACCTCTGGCTTTAGGAGGCAGGCAAGACATGGATGCATGAAAGCTAATCATCTCCAAAGACCCTTCATTTTAGCCAATACTCAACCTCCCCCTTGCTCGGCCAAGATTTTGGCGGGTCCAAGATTCCCCACTCAAGATCTGAAGAAAGGACCGGACAAGGGTGATTTCACCCAAAGGCAGAAAGGAAGTGGGAAAGACAGGGTCACCAAACAATACTGGTCACGAGTCAGCTGAGACTGTATCAGGAGCAAGAGCGCCTGACCCCCAACCCTAGGAACAATTCCTGAGGTCTCTTACCGAGGTTCATGGGGTGGTCCACTCTGCTCTATCATGTTGAACTCACAGGTCTGACTAGCGAACTGAGCATATTCTAACAGCCCGCTGATGGGGTTCTTCAGCTGGCACTCGGTCAGCTTCTTGTAGGGCGAGCACCGTGGCAAGCCGTGACTGTAGAAGGAGGGCATCTCCATGATGGCACGGAACTCACCTGGTGCGGCGCGAATACTATTCAAGTCATCTGGGATGTCATCTGTGGCCCACTGGCCATTTTCAAAGTCAACATACCCTGTTCTTGAGGGGCCATTGTCATGGACAGGGGGTTTCAGTTTTATGGGTTCTGGTCTGGTCTCTTGCCTATTTTCTAGCTTTATGACAGGTTCCTGCCCGTTCTCCACTTTTTCTGTGGTCACCACGCTGTTGGAGGCAGTTGACGCAGGTAAGGTACAGGTGGGACGCTCTGTGTTTCTTTTGGTCTCAGGAATAGCAGCTTGAGTGGTTTCGGGGACACTATTCATATTCCTCTTGATTTGGATCCTCTCTCGCTTCTTGTCAGTCAAATACCATATGGGTGGAGTTGTCCCTTGCCGATAGACATCCCCCTGCCTTTCCAAGTCAATCAGCATGGCATTTACATCTCGGGCCTTGGTGAGGCCAATATTTTTAGCCAAGTTCAGGGCCGAAGAGTTGGATGCGTTGAATAGGTAGTCACAGATTTTCTCCTTGATCTCAGCCATGTCAGAGGGCTCAAGAGGCTCTTCCAAGTCAGGCGTGGGGCTTCTGTCTTCAGTTTCCAAAGAACGGTCTGACTGTGAAGCTCTTGGGCTGTCTACTTTTGCCACGTGGCTGTCCTTGTGCCAGGCCGGAACCGAGACTGCAATTCTCCACAAAGGGGGCAGTCCTGCCTCCTGATGTAGCTTACCCTTCTTTGCCAGAGAGTATAAAATGCGATTGATTTCCTTCTTTGGGGCTCTGAGCTTGTGAGCCAGATCACTTGCTGTGGTGGCCCTGCTTTCTCCCAGCTCTTCCAAGAGCTCCAAGATCCTCAGCTCCTGATCCTGGTTAATGTTCAGTTCATGGAAATTCAAGGAAAGCCTATCAATGTCTCTCCATGGCAGAGTCCGGCCACGTTGGGGAGGATGCTGGAAACTTCTCTGGGGCACCTGACTTCTATGAGGCACACTCCTTGGGAAACCCCAAAATTCCAGTTGCCTGCCTCTAGCAAATGGTCCTGGAATCCTTGGCCAGGGTCCAGGAAGGACAGGCAACAGTGATGGTGTCTGCTTTCCAGTTAGGGGTGCTTCTGAGAACTGCCCCTTGAGGAACCCTATTTGCTGGAGCTGCAAACTATTCAGATGAGGTCCTGGCCCCAACTGCTGATATATGAGCTTGCTGTGCTCATAGTCTTGAACTGGATGGGGGTGGGAGCTATTGAAGAAACATCCCTGCAGAACAAGATTGAAAAGAAAGTGAATTAGGACTGTGGGGTTCTGCCTGTGCCTTCACCCTTGCTTGGGGCTACATTGGGCTCCCATTGGGCGGAGGCAGTGAGTAAGACCTGTGAACCAGCTTGGGTGGCTGCCCCGCCTGGGGACCCACCAAAGGAAAAGAGAGGAGCAGGGGGCAACATGCACAAAGCTCTAGTAGCACGCAGGGATCTGACACCTCAACAGAATCTCTTCAGCACCCAATCTATTCTTTTCCCTTCAACAGTACTTTAGGGAGAATGAATCTTTCCACTCATCGAAAAATTACCCTTTTAGCTAAGGCCTCCCTGGTGGTACAGGGGTTAAGTCTCAGTGCTATCAAGCTAATGCCAGCCACTGCAGCATGAGTTCCATCCCTGGCAGGGAGCTACCCACATGGCGCAGAAGACCTCTCCTGTCTCGCCCCGCTGCTCCCCTCAGCAGTGTATTTCAGTCAGTCTGTCTGTTCTGCTCCCCACTCTGTCTTTGGTGGATCCTCTCATCCCCCCGGGCACCTCTGGCTTACACCCTAGTTCTTGTATGCATAAAGATAAATCTTTAAAAATATTACCCTTTTAAGTTCAGAAAAACAAATATTATTTCTTTTAAAAACAAGCAAGAGGGCCTCCTCCCTGATGGCGCAGGCGGTTGAGCACAGTGCTGTGAAGCTGTCCGCAGCCTCTGCAGTGCTGGTTCAATCCCCGCTGGCCTCGGAGCAACCCACATGGCGCAGAAGACCTCTCCTGTCTCGCCCCGCTGCTCCCCTCAGCAGTGTCTTTCAGTCAGTCTGTCTGTTCTGCTCCCCGCTCTGTCTCTGGTGAATCCTCTCACCCTCCTGCGCATCTGGCCTGTACCCCGGCTCTTGTATAAATAAAAAATAAATCTTTAAAAAAAAACAAACAAACAAGCAAGAGCAGAACAATTTCAAGGAAGTCAGGGAATAGACCACTGCAAGTCCCCTAGTCTCTATCATCTGGATGACTATAACAAAAAAAGAAGTGTAACTGGAACCCCAGCTCCCCCCTGCCCCACAACCTGGGGAGGGACAGTAGGACCTTACAGGTTGGTCTGCTCAATACTATCATCACTGAGAGGACTAGAATTTGATTTTAGGGGAGCTGGCTGTGGGTTCCTTAGGAAAAAGGCACACTGCCTTGAACTTCAGTGTGGCACCAGTCCAGAAAGGGACTAGTGCTTTCACCTAGAGCACTTGGGCTCACATGGACATGTGGGGCTGGCAGGGTCTACTCCTCGACAGCTCAGCCCTACGCACCCCACTACCTCTAAGAGCTTCTCAATGGTTGCTCCTACTCTGTGTCCTTCTAAATTCCACTGTGAACCCCACTACCCTATAGTCTCACCTAGTGCCACACATTGACCAGAACACTGAGCACCTGTGACCACTTTCAGCCCACAGATCAATGCTCACCCATTCCAAGTGATACTCATTGGGGGGGGGGGGTGCTGAAGGCAGACAGTACTCTGGGATTCTAGATAGACAGGGGGTCAGTAAACACCTGGCTACAATTCCCTGGGGCTGACAGGCTGGGGGCGTAAGGCATCTAGCAACTGCACTTCCTCCAGCTTTTGCCCCTCGTCTGATTCTCCTGGACTGCCAGCCCTGTGTGCCTCCCTCAGCACCCTTGGCCTTTAGGCACAATTAGGGGATCTTAGGGCTCTTGCTAGTCACACAGCCTCCTGGCTGCAGTTTCCTAGTGTCTCTCTCAGTGACACCCACTTCTACCTTTCAGTCACCTCAGCCTGCCCAGTTCCTCACTCAATCTCACTGGCATCCTAGCAGTGGCCACCAAATCTCAGATGCTGCAATTCTCCTGGGGTCAGCAAACTTTTTTTTGTGTAGAGCCAGGTGGCTTTTCATTCATACTACGTAAAACTTCACTTATGAAAAAACGCAAACACGTGGAAAAGCCGCCTTTGGCCTGCGGTTCTAATCTGCTGACTTCTGCTCTTTACCACCGCGACTGCATGTCTAGGAAACCTCCGCTCACATGACCCCACTGGAGCTACAGGTCAGTTACTCCCAGATCTTCCCTGTTTTGGGCTGCCACGCAAGGCTTTAATATTTCCCTTCTTTCTACATCTCTTAATTCAGCCTGGATTGTGGTCAGTTCCTTCTCTACCCAAGGCCCACTGTCCCCTCCTACCTGATCCAAAGCCTTCAAAGACAGCTAGAAAAAGACACTGATTCCTGCTCAGAGGACACATAAATTTACACCCTTCAACTTTGGGTGGATTTTCACTACTGTTTGGTGGTCAGTGCAGCTGAACAAACACTCACTGGCTCACTGTGAATTGTGCTCTATTTTTTTTTAAAGATTTATTTTTGCATAGAACTGGGGTGTAGGTAAGAAGTGCAGGGGCGGGGTGTGTGTGTGTGTGTGTGTGTGTGTGTGTGTGTGTGAGAGAGAGAGAGAGAGAGAGAGAGAGAGAGAGAAATAGAGGATTCACCAGAGACAGAGTGGGGAGCATAACAGGCAGATCTACTGAAATACACTGCGGAGGGGAGCAGCAGATGAGATAGGAGAGGCCTGCTGCACCAGCGTGCTCTTTAAAAATTCTCCACCCAGGGTTTGGTGACACAGCACCAGCGATCTCCACTCAACTCTCTTTTTCCTTCTGTCCCTTCTACCCTTGGTCCCTAAGTTTCTGTCTGTGGGCCTCTTCTTCCTTCCCAAGTAATGTTTTCAACCATTCCCCAACCTAAACTAGCCTCTTAAGAAACAGCATTCAAATTTTATCTCCAGCCAACACTCAGTGCTAAAGCTTAAAACTTGAATATCCAAATACCGAACTTGTCCTTCCAGATATCCTGCCATTACTTCAAACACCACATATTGCAAACTAAATTAATCTTTCCCCTTTGAGCTGCCCCTTCTCCTGCTGTTCTTATTAGCAACAGCACGTTCTCCTCACAGTTATTAAGGCTAGAAACCTGAGTCACGCTTGCTGCCTTCCTTCCTCTCTCATCTCCCACTCAAATCAGGTAGCTGCCAAGTCCTATCCCATCTATCACCTCTGTCTTGTCTCTTAACTGTGTCTTTTCCCAGTCCAGCCCATCATTACCTCTGCCCTGCACTACAAGAACCTTTAATCTTTCCATCACTCTACAGTCTTGATCCAACATGGCTGCTTCTCCCACTCCTGCTACAATGCTGACCTCTCCTTTCAAACTCCTTAAATGTCACCTTCTTTTGGACACTTCTGACTACCCTCCCATCCCACAGGAGTTTCCTCTCCTTGAACTCTCCCACTCAGCACCTGTTACACCTGTAGGGTGAAGAAAATATCAGGCTTTTCTGCCCTTCCGCCATCAGGATAGATGATGGATCCTTGTCCTGAATGCATGCCTGATGGCGGGCACCTGGAATAGGGTGTGGGCATAGGTAGATGGGATTCAGCTGAGCTAAGACTGTGCTTTTAAGGGCGGCGTCACGGGGACGCCAGCAGCAGCAGCAGCAGAAGCAGCAGCAGCAGCAGAAGCCGAAGAAGCCGAAGCAGAAGCCAAGAAGCAGCAGAACGAACGCCAGAGAGTCCAGATAGAGTGAAGACTTGCTAGGGGCTGGGAGGCTGGCAGGCCTCCCAGCCCACCAGCCAGCACCCCTGCCTGCCATATGCCTGGTGAACCCCAATAAAAGACCTGCAAAAAAACCACTGAGGACTCTGACTCCTCCTTTACCCGGTCTGCATGGGATCAGAAAACCTGCACTGTGCCCAGTACGGCCCTTACAACACCTCTTTCTTGACCTTTTATCACAGCTACTGATCCTTTTTTAAATGGCATACATAGATGGTAGTGTATCTGAAAGGTAATTAACAATAATAGGCACCCTAGAGATTATACTCAACTCTCCACTCCCACTACACCCCATGTACTATTTTTTTTTAAATTTATTTCTTTATTTGTTTGTTTTATTTACACATGCACTGGGTACGGTGAGAAGCACGGGAGGGTGAGAGAATTCACCAGAGCCAGAGCGGGGAGCAGAGCAGGCAGAAGGACCGAAGTACACTGCTGAGGGGAGCAGCGGGAGGCAGGAGAGGTCTGCGCGCCATGTGGGACTCTCCTCCGGTGGCCAGGGAGCAGCTGGGGATCGAACCGGCGTCGCAGAGGCCGCGGGCAGCTTCGCAACCCAGCGCTCAACCGCTGCGCCACCGGGGAGGCCCCCCATGTACTATTAACGTAGAAACGAGACACAATCAACGCCAGGGTGTACTACTGGAGGACAAGGATAATACTTAAGTTACCTTTGCATTCCCAGCACCTAAAACAATGCCTGGTATGCAGATGAGCTTGAACCAGCATTTGTTGAAAATATGCTTGCCAGAACAAGATATCCCTAGACTCACAATCCTATCTCTCTTCTTGCTGTACACAACCACTCCCTGCACCATGCTGCCAGGGGCTGAGGCCTGTGCGCACAGGGAGTAAGTGCCTGGCTCACAGAACTGTATTATGGGGATTTCTGATGAGCTCTTCAAGGATGAGGATACAATAATTTTGTTTCAAAGCGGATGAAGTCAGTTTCTAGCTAAATATTTCCTAGACTTAAACTGCCACCAGTTGACCAAAAATCTGCAAGATATTTCAATGTCAATCTACAGAAGAAAAGTTGAATAAATTATAACATTGATGCTATGGAACAGTATTCACATTTTAAAAAAGGTGTTAGGATCTATTTATATTCAATTTAGAGATGAGTTAAACACACAAAACACGAGTTGCAGAGTAACACGTATGCTATAACTTTCATGAACAAAAGAAAAAAACCATGAACGTGTATGTATGCATGTGTACTGAGGAATGAACACACAAAAAAGAAAGAACAAATGCATGAATTTGTTAATAATAGTTATTTTAGGGTAAGATTAGATGGACATTATTTTCTTTATACTCCCTTAATGCCTCTAAGAGCCAAGTCAAGCCAAACAGCCACCTGAGACTAGTCCTTTGAGAGCCACTGAGTGGGGGTGAGAGTAACAAGGATGGGACACCAACCATGACCACCTGTTCCTAAAGCCCTCAACTCACCCAGGTGATGCCTATTCACTAGGCAAGCTACATAACAGGCCATTCAACCTTCATTCAACCTTCAGCACCTGGGGAAAGTTCCCTTTCTGTAGTCTCATATATTTAGATCAAGAGATGAGCCTCCCTCTTTCCTACATGGGGTCCTCAGGGTAATATGTACAAGTGAAATAATGCCTTTCCTTCAAGTCAGGTGCCCCTAATCCTTTCAAGGAAGGTATACACACAAACAAGATACATAACATATTTAACATAAATGTATACACACATAGATGATCCTTATAAAGAAGTGTGTTATTTTTATATTTAAATACATATTTTTATGTATGTATTAAATATATAAAAATATAGTATACATATATTTACATACACATGTAAATCTTTTTTAAACTGAGGTATAATTTACAGGCAGTAAAATTTACCCTTTCTAGTGCATAATTCTACAAGTTTTGACTAGAGTCAAAGCATATATACTCTTAAAACTATCACCACAGTCGAGACCTAAGGCATTTCATTCCCTCCAAATTTATTCGCACTTTGCAGTCAGCTCCTTCCCCACACCCAGCACTCCTGACAATCACCAGTCTGTTTTCTGTCCATCTAGTTTTTAATTTTTCCGGAGTCATCTTTTGAGTCTAGCTTCTCCAGGGAACAAAATACCTGAGGTTTCGCCATGATGCTGGATTAGTGCCTTTTTTTCTTTTTATAAGTATTCCATTCTATGGATGATACATATCCCTGTTTGTTTATCCAATCACCTGTTTAAGGACATTTGTGGAGTTTTCCAGTTTTTATCAATAAAGATTCAGGTTTCTCCTAGAGGTTATAAACTTTCTTCTAGAGGTTAAGAAGGACTATTTTTCACTTCCAGGCTTTCAGGAAGTGGAAAGGATGGCTGCTAACAGAGGAGACTGTTAACACATGTGTTCCAAAGTGGGGTCAAAGGGGGAAAGGGTGTGACAGCAACGGGGTCCCAGCAGAAAGAGGGGGTTGTCCTCACCCGGGCTCAGGTGTTGCTCCTCAGAGAGGGGCCATTTCCCCCAGGAGCCATCTTCTACCCGGTGCTCAGCAAAGCAGCTGATTAGCATTAGCACGGCGCTAGTGCTTGGTAAACATCCCCCCCCCCCCCCCCCGTGCATTTTAGGGACACACGCCGCAAGTGAGGTGTAAGGTAAACCCCAAGTGAGCAAGTGGTGGGTCGCCCAAGGCTCTGGAGTCCCCAGCTGCCTTACCTGCCTCGGGTCCATGGCGCTGCCTAGTCATCTCGGCCCGGCCCCGCGGTAGCGCGACCCTCCCCCCTCCCAGGAAGCCCTTCCTGAGGTGGGCTCGTCCAGGCCCGGCTCCCGCTGGCTGCTTCCCCACGAGGGGGGTGCCTCTGAGGTCCGACAGGAAAACGCCACCCGCCTGCGGGGTGAGCCGCGCTGCTGAAATGGCTCCAGTTTAATTTCACTTTCGTTTCCTCAGAAATCCTTCCTGTTCTGAAAGTTAAGCTGAGAGGTGGGGTTTGGGCCAAACTAGCCTGAGCAGCCTGGTTTCACGCAGATCACAAATCTAATCCTCTCCTTGCAAGAGAACTGGGCTAGATACTCATTCTTTAGGAAAACAGCTGTAAGAACTGGGCTCAGAATTCTCCTCGCACGGACCTCTCCGAGATACACAGAATAAAGCAAAAAGGAAAACAAAGAGAAATCTTTGTCAAAAATATGGTGGTTTTACCAGAGGGGAAGTCGAAGGCGGGAAGGGAGACTACTTAAGGGTCCCGTGGTAGGGGGAGACACTGGGCTATGGTGGTGGGTAGGGAAGTCTATGTGCACATCTGTGCAGCTGAACCCCCCCAAATTATTAAGTTTGCAAACGAGTTGTTCATTAAAGAAAACAAAGACACACTGGAAGCCTAGCACTGGAGTCACTGCCCGAGGGGCAGTTGCTTGTCCTCTGTCTCCCAAGGGTCACACTAACCTGACCAGGAACCTTTAAAGTGGGGGGAGAGGGGAACAGCAGATCTTTTCAAATGACATCCACTCTTTCCCCCACACGCTGAGTTGTTTTTTTTTTTCCTAAAGATTTATTTTATTTATACAAGAGCCAGGGTACAGACCAGATGGGGGGGGGGGTTAGGGGGGTGAGAGGATTCACCAGAGACAGAGCAGGGAGCAGAACAGGCAGACTGACTGAAATACACTGCTGAGGGGAGCAGCAGGCAAGACAGGAGAGGTCTGCTTGCCATGTGGGTATCTCCACTGCCGGCAGGACAGCTTCACAGCGCTGCGCTCAACCACCTGCACCACCGGGGAGGCTCTCTTCACCACTCTTCATTTGCTCAGGTTACACCACTGCTTTCCAAAAGAAATTTTGCCGTGTAGGGAAAAAAAGTCAACTAATTTCCTGACAAATATATGTATTTGCTCTATTTTGTTCAAGAATTCTAGGACAAGATTCTATAGATCAATTTTAGTGCTTTGTCCCTTACCAGTGAGAAATGTTTTCGAGTTTAATCTAGATTTTATTCCCACTGCTTTTAAGCTTCACAATGCAGTCCCTCCCCAGCATTATCTCCAGCCAAGGCCTCTTTCCTTCTTCATTACCCTCTCATTCAATTCACTGTCACCCCAAATTTCATGTTTCTATTGTAGGTCATAGTCTATAACAGTCATTCTCCCTCAGTGCCTTTGCACAATCTATTTTGTGGCCTAAATGTACTTCCTCCACTGCTTCTGGTAACTAGTCTTTCAAGATCTGTTTCAAATTTTACCTCTTAGGAGAAGCTTTGTCCCACTCTGTGTTGGGGTATGAATGCAATTTAGGTTCCTTATTTCATGCTTCTCTGTTACTCAACACTTACTCGCTACAGAGCACTTTCACCATACTCTGAAAAATGCCTCATTCAGTTATTCCACAGAACTTTACGAAGCACCTAATATATGCCAGACACTGTGTTAAGCACTGAGCATAGGCCATGAATAACAGCCCTGGGGGGAGGGGAGGAGATGTGCTTCAATCATCACAATGTTATAAATTAATATATATAATACATATAATAATATATATATGTTTGCCTTAAGATATATATATATAAAATATATATGTTTGCCTTAAGAGCTGTACAGCCTTCTCAGGGCAGGAAACATCCCTGACAGAATGACCTTCAGAAGGTTGGTTAATTGGCTGAAATAGACCATTCAGTAGAAAAAACAGTGGGCAAAACAAAGCATGTAACTTCACAAGAGGAAATTTAAAATATCAGCAGGCATATAAAGTAGTGCTCAATCTCATCAGGGACAGTGAGTTACTGCCCATTCACCAAAAGAGATCAGACCAGGCAGGAGCAAGTGTAGAGCAGCTCCCAGTCATCACAGGAAGCCAGTTTTTCCTTGTCTAGGAAAGGCGTGAATACACACACCAACAGTTCAGCAGCTTCATGCTTAGATGTGGATATTAGTACTGGAAGTTCATAGTTATTACTCATTATTTCCAAAGTGGAACAACCAAAATGTCTACTGTAGTAGTATCATTGCTAAATTTAAAAACCCAAGTCCCCATTCCTTACCCAGCAGGCAAGTCTGGGAGTGGTTGGGACTGCCATGGGAACCTGGACATTAAGCTGATGATATGAAGAGCTGATGATCCTTTATGCTACTTCAGATCATCAGTAAGACACACCCAAGACTAGTCACCCTAACCAGTCAATGATGCCTGGAGTATATATACAGCCTCGGGACCCTCACTCAGTGCAGCAGACTCTTCCTGTCACTACCTCTTAGTAGTGTATTTCAATAAATCTGCCAGTTCTGTTCTCCACTCTGTCTCCAGTGAGTTTTTTCACTCCAGTGCTTCCAGCCTATACCTTATTCTCCCCCATGACATCTACTAAGTGGAAATGGTAAATAGTATGTATGCCTATGATGGAATATTATACAGCAACAGCAGTGAAAGAACTGTAGTCACATAAAACAGGTGGGTAATTATTTAAACACAATATTGAGTGAAGGAAGCCATGTAAATATGGTTATGTCTCCACTTACATAAAGCCCCAAACCCAGCAAAATTACCATAGTAGGTACTGCAGTAAAGATAGGGGCAGCTTCCTCAGGGAAAAGGAGGGGATTTGACGAGGGAGGAATATCCTGAGTGCTGGTGATGTTCTATCTAGTTCTTGATTTGGAGAGTGGTTATATGTGTTTGCTTTACACTAATTCATTAAGTTATACACATATGCTTGCTATACTTCATAATTTTTAATGATTAGAAACAACCCCTGCAGCAATTCCAATCTATCCTCCTACATTCTATTTTCCATTTAAGTAAAATGCACTGTCTTACCTCTGCTTTCTTGCCTTCAGGCAGAGCCTTGAACCCTCATTAAGAATGGTCCAGAAGAGCCTTAATCACAACTACCTTGCAGGGGAGGCTGTATTGCTATGGCCTCCATCCCTTTTAATTTAACATAGGAGGTAGTGATGAAACAAGGAGAAATTTGTTTCCTAAGCACAGGGTCAGTTGATCCTTGCAAGAACAACAACTGCTCTTGATATTTAATCTTTGCAGCTCAAGTAACAGCTGACAGTCTTATTCATAAACATTTTATCTTCTTCTGAGTAATTGTTTCAGCTCCCACAGAGTTGTGAGGTGGTGACATAAATCTTTCTGCAGGTCTATTGTTGGAACTTGGAGGATTGGATAAATATCTTTAACCAAAAGTAACAAGTTGGTTACAGCAAATTTCAGAAAATACAAACACAGTCAAAATTATCCCTGATCCTCTGTGAATTGGGAGTTTCCCTCGGCAAAAATCACCAGGAAACATGGGCACTCTTCCCCAGTCTCAGAATGCACCGCCCCCTCCCCTACCCCTGGCTGCTTGTCTACTGCCCAGTGGTGAAGTAACCCCAAATGCATCTTCCCCTATGTTCATACCACTTGGGGCTACTTACTAACAACCATCTAAATAAATGATTATGAGTTACTATCTAAAATTAGGTATGTATAAAAAAAAGCCCTCACTCAGTATTCTGGGAAGCCTGGCTTCCACACAATGCCAAGTTTTCCAGCTCCATATGTGCCATTGGGGTCCAGACTTCTCCAATTATGGGAAAGGATGCATTATCATCTGGGTTACTGAGTTGGTTTTCATTTTCAATGCCTGCTATTCTTTTTTTTTTTAAACTATAAATAACTGTCAGTATGGCTTTGTAATGAATTGTCTTATTGTGGATCTTTTGTTTAACCTTACTATGTACAGGGATACAGATTTACAACAGTGTTCTTTAGTCTAAATATCCTATAACCAGACTTTACTGTACATATGGGCTACATCCAATTGGATCATCTATCTTCCTATCATAAAGCAATGTCTGCAAACCCCCTCAATATTTGCTCAGACAATGTGCAACAGAAATGTACTGCCTGTGAATGCATGCTACTTAACCTGCAATGCGCTGACAAAAATGTAATACATTACTGAGTTATTTTTAGTATTACAGCATTATTTTAGAATAGGACAGTCAAACACAAAAAGCTATTCTTATAACTCTAAGGAAATAAGCAATTAATAACAACATAAGCAATTTATAGAGTTGCTAAGCACAAATTAATTTTTTGGATCTTGTTTCTGCTGAAACAGCTATTGCCACATTGATAAAATTTTCAAAATTCTTAGGGCCTTCCCAAAATGACCCGACTTGCTTTGCTAACCTGTAAGGTTTTCTGTAAACAGACTAGCGAGTTGCCCAACTGGCTGAGTAGTGTTCTGCAGCTATATTTACAATAATGTACAGGCTTGATGTTAATGACTAGACTGGTTTTTGAAGTTACAGGAAAGCAAGGAATATCTCAAGTTCCTCCAGAAGAAACAGATGTCTCCAAAAGTGGCTGAGTGCCCAATCGAAGTTATCCAACAAATGAAAGAAGAAAAGCAGTATTTGTCAATTTTTTATAGGTGTTCAGTATTGTGATAGTAGCTATTATCACATATTAAATATGTAATATCAGTAATAAGGCCTCATATGAGACATTTAGTTTTTTAAAAACCCTATAAAACTGTGGTTTTGTGGGGTCTCCCTGGTGGTGCAAGGGGTTAAGATGCAGCACTATGAAGCTATCCGCAGCCACTGCAGCACGAGTTTGATTCATGGTGCAGCAGACCTCTTCTGACTTGCCCACTGCTCCCCTCAGCAGTATATTCCAGTCAGTCTGCCTGTTCTGTTCCCCCTCTGTCTCTGGTGAATCCTCTCACCCCCCGCCACACCTCTGGCCTGTACCCCAGTTCTTATATGCATAAATAAATAAATCTTTAAAACAAAACAAAACGAAACTGTGGTTTTGTAACCGGGGTCCTGCAGTATGGAATGCAGGACAAGACTGGGTTTTTCCACTGCTATATAAGCAGCAGGAACTGTTAGAAAAACACGGTGGATTTACCCACCTGCACCAAAAGCTGCTGCCTGTGCTGTGGGCAGTCCTTTCCTCGGGTGTCAGGGTTAAATGGTCCAATCAGGAGGTATCAAGTAGGGTGGCTGGACTTTGAAACAGAATATAAGGTAGTGAGGAATCATCTTGGGACCCCCCCCCCACTGCCAACACTCCCCACATACTCCAAGATCTCCAGACTCCCGAAGCCCTGTCTCAGAAAGAAGGTTCTCAGCAGCCAACATCCAAAGAGA